CCAGATTTTAAAAAACTCGAATTCAAATCATTCATCTCCAGATAGCAGAAGCAAGCATCGACAGTACCATTACATGTGACCGATAAAAAAAAAAAACATCACTATAAAAGAAAACTAGATCTAATACTGTAAACAGTATTATGTTTGTGTATACATGACATATATATTATACTCTGTGCAACCAGTCCTTTTTCGTTCTTTCTTTTTAAGCCAACAACCTGAGCTCTTCCACAAGAGGAACTGAAGCTTTTGTTTGTTTTAGTTTGTTTTAGTAAGATTTTTATGGCGCTCGCAACTGCATAAGGTCATATGAGCTCTTTTACCTGTTTAAAATGTGTTTAACTTTTCTCTGTCAGAATTGGTCTCATTGACCATTGCAGGAGCCACCAGACATGATCATGATAATCCTTAATTCTTCTATTTTGCTCAAGAAATAGTCTCCTCTGCAGATACACTGATCATCATCATTCAATGACTGACAAACTATTATTATTCATATTAATGGTTCTCGAAAATTTTTCAACATGCAAGAAAAAAAAACTTCTAATGAAAACACAATAATGAGCTTGCGGTGAGCTATATATAAATTTATACAATCCATTTAAAAAGCATGCCGCAAGTGGTTGGAGGGTTCCACTGGTAGATCCCACTTCTTTACTTTCCCACTGTTGTTTCTGTCTGTCTGTCTTACTTTTTCCCAGCACTAAATGACATGTTTTTTACACAAGTACACACACGAGTACATGAATGAAGAATGAGCCATTCTTCAAAGGTAGGCTTAAAAAGGTAGCAACTGGCAATTTTCATGCTTTCCCTTGATGTGCTCTTCAAAGTGGGAATCTAATCAGAACAACAACACTTGTACAGAAAAGTTCATAAATTTTTTTTGAAGTTCTCTTTAACTCTTCAGCTATGAGTACCAAGCCTGTCACTATACAATTTGACAAACGTGTTTGCTTGACAAAATATAGCATCACAAAAAGCCCTGAAGCCAATTTTACACATTTGCTAAGGAGAGGCAAAAAAGACAAAATTTCATCAACTTGACAATTCAATTATGATTGTTATGCATTATGCACATCAAATTAAAGAGAAATAAGAGCTCTATTGCATGGAATTGAAAATAATCAAAACAAACATCAATGTATGCATCAAAATACTCATACATGTACTTGAGGCAAAACTTACGTTTTAATTTGCACCAAAATAAAATCACATTTTATTGATGATAGATAAATGTTATTTATATTAAGTTAAAGAGAAAACAAATCTCTTTTTCATATATCTAATTAAAAATAGGAAAACAAACATTGATGCACTTATCTCTTCAGTCTTCAAAAAAACTCATACGTATTTTATGTGGACGGAGCACCAGCGTAACACTCGCCTGCTGATTCTTCCTTGGTTTTTGCTTGGTCAATGAAAGTAGTAACAAGCTTCATCGCATTAGTCAATACAAACTAGTCCTAATACTGTTTACATATTTTTATATGAAAAAAGATATATGCTTTTTAGTTATTTAAAACTCGAATGCCTTAATAAAATGAATTAAATAAAAATAATAAATTACACTTTTATTGATCCCAGAAGGGCAATTTTTGGTTTACAATGGCAAACATACGCACACGATACATAAATACATAATTATAAATACATAAATACATGAATACATACACATATGCATAGAGATAAATACACAATAATTATTACACCAATACAGAACAATTTCAGAATCATGCCATTGCTGGTCCCCACTGTGCAGCACCCTGTTTTTTTAGCTTGGGTTATCGTGTCTTGCTCAAGGACACACCCCAGTGACCACCCACTTAAACCCCGTGTAACCGACACTTGCTTGACTTTACTTTTAGGTCTGAACTCACTACTCCCTTAGCTACTGGAGCCCCCAATGTATTTGAAAAATCTTTCTAAGTTTTTAAATTTCAATTTTACAAATATTTCGTGTAAAAATGGACCCACAAAAATTATATACAGAAAGCAACGTCTATTTGAGTACTTTTATAGGGACTTGATTACATTATAAATGATTCAATACAAGAGGAGCATGAAAATGTATGGGTGGTGGGGATTCCACAATAACACCTCAGCAAACTGTAGAAAAAATCTGAATGCTAGTTTCTGTCAACATGCTATTCTAGGATACCAACATGTCTGCACCCTTTCAAACTCGTTTTGATCACATTCTGAGCTGGTTTACTGAGTTTTTTCATGAGGATGCCCTCTCTCCCTGAATCTGGAAGCTCACGAGGTCAGGATTTGGGTCAAATTAGGATCAAGGCTCAAAGGATTTGTATACACATATATCAGTTTTATAAAGCATACACTGGAATAGGAAGCAAAATACAAAAAAAGTTATTTCTACTTATTTTTGCCACAATCATCCGCTAATCGCCATTTTCCCCCAGTATTGCATACCCAGTAATTGTATTCATGTCTGTGTTACAATTAAGCAAAATGGTACTTTATGACACCTCTCCAATCTACAGTCAAACGTCTTTGTACCCCCCACCCCATCGTTGAACTGCCAGCCCCACTTATCACCAGGTTTTGTCTTTGTAAGAAAAGGAATGCCTATATATAGTATTCATGCATTTACACTGCCATCTGCCAACTCTGTGAGTTGTACTGTCCTTATTAAACTAAAGTAAATTCGCCCCTCTGTACCGCCAGCAAATTGGCTGCAAGAGGTACACACTACACACAGCACTCATCCGCTGGCTGCTTGATAATCTCTTTCTCTGAGGTCAGCCTATTTCTAGCATCTGTCGTTGATTAGCTCCTGATTTGCACTGATTGTGGAAAAGCTATTATTTTTCGGCTCTGGACAATATTTTGAAAATTTGGAAAGAAACTTAAAAGTCACTTGGAGAAACTTCAAATTAACCAAGCCACTTTGGCCTGCCGACAAAATATCTGGCATCTCCACTTATCAGCTTCATGATCTCAATGCTGGCGGGCGCCCATAGGGCTTTTATATTGTGAGGACTCATGCTCAAGTCTACATGATGATAGGCTAAGGCTGTCCAAGGACTGACAAGTATTGAGTCCCAATTTTTTTAAAATGTACATATAGGTTCTTTGAAACATACAGCCCGATCCTAGCTTCTTTCTATTTGAATTTGTGTAAATTTTAGCTGGAGCTGATAATTGGTTACTAAAATTTGTCTTTTTCTTTGCACATGGCAGTCACGCCAGACAGATCTACATGAGGTAAAACTGGCCACAGTTTGCTTCTTATCTGTAGTCTCTAAAAGTCCATTACTGGTCAAGATGGCAATCAGTACGATCCCGTTTTACCCCCCAGCCCCGCAGTACACCCAACTTTATTTTCATGCTCGTCCAAAGGTAGGCGGTATGATGGGGTTTGACTGTACATCATTTCAATGCCTTCACATTTGCCTGGATGAAGCCCTGCTGACAAATGAAGCGCTTGCCGCTGCCATGACAAGAGAAGAGCCTCAACTTTCTCTGATCACTTGTCGACATAACTGTCTAGCACAGGTCGACTCCCACATTTTCATCAAAATTGTCACAATTTTATATAGCCACAAAACATGTATGACATTTTGTACGGATGTATGTTTTCCCAAGGAGCAAAAGAAATCTGCTGAAATAGTTCTCAGATTCCATTTAGTGAGTATACAGAAGTAAAATGCTATGATGATATGAGGAGCTGTAAAATATGCTTCACCTCTCTTGAATGGAAAAGAAACTTAAAAAACCCATTACAAGTCCATAAGATACAACATCAGAAATATTTCTAACTGATGTAGCACTACCATAGTTCACAAGAGCATCAAGTTATGGAATAAGGCTATGATCTCTTCCCCCCTCCCCCCCAAAAAAATTTTTTTTTTAATAAATTTTTTAAAAATATATATGATATAAATACTAATAATAATAAATAAATAAATAAATAAATACATTTTATCTCTTTCCGTACCTATTTGTTTTGGAGTCTAGACGTAATTAACTTCTGGCTCGATTCAGCTACACAGGTGATGTACAGAATAACTTCATATAAGCACAACCATCATTCAAAAGGTAACATACGTAGGCCTTCATCAAATTGAAAAAAATTGAATGAAGAAATGAGGAATATATTCCATCCAACATGGAACAAGGATTATTTTTTAACATAGGCATGCATTACAAGGGTTAGTAAGAATTGGTGATGGTGATGAGGAAAATAAATTTTGAAGGAAATAATAACTCTCACCAAACAAGTGAAAGCAAGTCAACATAGTTATCTTATCATATACAGGCCAAGAGCATAATCCAAGTTTCTGAAAGCGCAACTTTTTTATTTGAAAGCAATTTCCCAAATTTTGTTTGAGTTACGATACATCTATTGGGTCCGATTACATCGTTCTGTTGATGCAAGACCGCAAGAATTAATTCACTCGTTTTACGCCAAACCGACACTTTGACAAAGCGAAACTAGATGTTTTCGTTTCCTAAACGCTTTCCAAGTTTTCAATACAATAATATAAGTAGGCCTACTTAAAAATGACGGATCATGTTAAAACGAAACAAAAGTGAGGCACCCCATCATCGGCGATACGTCCGCAAGGGGTGTGGACTTGCGCCAGTATATCGGCGATACGTCCTGAAAGAGTTAACAGATGTTCATAAAAATGTATTCTTAAAACTTCTGCTAAGAGATACCCTATTTAAGTCATTCTGCTGTTCACCATTCAGCTCTGGTGCAGCTCCATCTCCAACATCACCAGCTACAATCTGATCCTGACCCCCAGCATCTACTGGATTATCTCTCACAGCCATATTTTCTTCCAGAGCTTCTGCATTGTCTTCTTGGCTGTATTCATCGCATGAAAGAATTCTTCCACCCCCTTCTGGATATGAAGCCTCATTTCCCCCTAGATTGTCTTCTTCCTCAGCAACTTCCTGAGCCCCCTTTTGAATGGAATCTTGATCCTGACTTCTGCCACCCTCAAGACCCTGTACATCTACAGGGATATTTAAATTGTCATTCAGATTTTCCACATGTTCTTGTGCGGGTGAGCTACTCGTTAATGACTTACTTATCAATAATTCTGAAACAGAAATATCGTCACAACTTCCTGCAGGCTCGCTTGCAACACTAGACAAAGCAGGTTTTGACTGAACACTACTGCTATAAAGAGATTGAATATCTAATTTTGGGCTACTATCTAAGTTTTTCTTTATCTGTTTAAACCACCTGAAGTCCTCAACACGACGCACACTTCGTTCTTTTGTATTAATTGACAAAGGTTTGGTTTGACTTTCGTCAGATACATTGGAAACATTGTCAGGGTGATTATCAAACTCTTCTTTTAGTCGTCTTGGTGCTGCATATGCACCAGCAACAAGTGGTTCTTTGACCTCTGTAGAATCTGTCTCTGAAGGCTCACTGGCACCAGAGTAATGACCACTGTCCGCTGTCCCAGTTTCCGCGGCAGGATGAACAGTTTTCAGATTGGTAGAACTGCTGAAACTATCCCGTCTTCCAAGGGGTGGATCCTGTGGTGGAGAAAATGCCTGACGATCATGGAGCTTACCACTTGTGCCTGGTGGCTTTACCTCTTGTTTTTGGGATCCCTCAGGCCCTGTCTCATTTCCTTTCCCATTTTGGTTGGATGATATTTCCTTGTTAGATGTTTGAGCATTTGCACTGCATCTTTCATCTTTATTCAGCTCTTCTCCTTCAGTAGCATAGGCGGACTCTTTACTAGTTTCATTGTCCTGGAAGCCACTGTCAGCTTTTCTACTTTGAGGAGCAATATCAGGCAGGTATCTGAAATATGTAAGTTAAGTGTAACGTCATCATAAAATCAGTCTGGAAATTTGGTCACATGGAAATGGTGCAACGTATAAAATATTCTCAAACAATACCAAATAGGAAAAACATCATTTGTCATGTTATCAGGATAGCCTACCTCAAAGTTCCCATTTCAGGTAAATTCAGGGTCAGTTTCAGGTATTTTGGCCCCAAATCAGGTACATAATACGAGGACAAAGAAGAAAAAAAGAAAAAAGATTATCATTGCCTCAGAAAACATAGTTACAATCAAAAAGGGTTGCTTTTCGTGATATTGGGTAATTATAATTTGAAAACTTCAGTGTGCATGCACATGTGTGTGGACGTATAGCGAAACTATACGTGGCGCACGCGTACGTGCGTGCGTTCAAGTGTGCGTGCGCGCGTGTGTGTGAGTGAGTGCGTGTGTGTGTGTCAGCGCGGGCACGCTCACGCCCTCGCATGTGTTTACGTAGGCGAGAAAAAGGGGTGGGGTGGGTTTGTATAAGTGAAGGTGAACAGAGTTATTGAAATGAGATGAGTTTTTAAAGCTTTTTAACATTTTGGGGTTTTTTTTACACTTTGCCATCATATTTTGGGGAAAATCCAAAGAAACTGGGCGGTAAACATCGCCAGAGATGAGGCAGCAAAGTGTTTAGCATTCATGGACTATTGTTCAAGTCAACTATCAATTAGTATTGAATGTGGAAGTGAGAGTGACGTAACTGCCAAACTGACTTTAATAAACTCATAGCCCGCACAAATAGAAACTAAATTAACTCACTCAACCCTAGACCTACACTTCTGGGTTGTCAGGTCTCCCTAGAGATTTTTATACTAAATTTAAATACATCCTAGTCAAATTTAGTACACATTTTATTCAAACCTTTATTTGTGTCTATTGAAAATTTGAAGGCAAAATATGTCATAGTTTTTATGCAATACTCCATGTAAAAATGGCTATATATATACAGAGTCAAAAAGTAAACAAAAAGCGAAGAAAGGAAGTGCGTTCAAATTTTGCACCCCTCACAATTCACATGGTTCACGAATACAGCTTTCTTTATTCTAAATTTGGGCTTGCATTTATGGTTTAAAACGAAAAATGGTTACTCTTCCAATTAGGCTATAGTCTGCTTCACACAAAAGTAGTGTTTTCCGTCACAAGAGCAAAATTTTCCATACCCGATACTGTCGGAGTTAGGGTTGGAGCGTTGCGCATGAAAACCGATCTTATTAACATTAGGGCTGGGTGAGTTAAAAGATATTTTCTGACAATAGCATACCAATTGGGCACTGATAAGTCCTGTAGTGTGACTTATGTATGACAAAAAAATATAAAAAACTAACCCTGATCTGGGCCTGTGGAAAGGCCAGAACATCAACTGTCAAAACTTGGTTTGGGTTTCAGCATAAACAGGTTTTAAAAAACATACAAAAGACAAATTTAATTTTTTTTTAAACTTTATAGTTAGGCTCACGGCAGAGCAAAAAGTGGCATTACAAGAGGACATATGTACTGGGAGCCGGAGCTGGAAGGACTGTGAGAGTGTGGGGTGTAGTGATGCTGAAAATCTGACAGTCTCGGCATCAAGGACAAAGTATTAAGCATCAAACAGTTCAAATTCAAATATGTATCTAAAAAGATGGGTTTCTTCTTTCCTCCAGCATAGGCCGCCAGCAAGGTTCAGTTTGGGGGGGGGGGGGGGGGGGGGATTAAATTTAGAGCTTTACAGGGATTGAAAATGTACTGCCCATCGAACTGCAGCACAGAAGAACAATGGTCGAGTGTGTGAAATGTGCAGTCTGGCAGTTTCTAATACAACTTATCACTGAGAATTTCCATAAATATCCAAAAAGTTCTGGAGGCAAGTACTGATCCTTTGTACGGAACGCCGATAAGCTATTACTATTACTGTCTGTCTCTTCTTCTTTAATGCATAAGGTTGACATGATGATGGAGCGAGTACGGAACTTTCGGAATGTACTTATTTCTGCAAAAACAGGGAAGATTGAAAGCACTGCAGAACAGAGTTCTTTATTTTCTTTTACTCTCAGCGTCCATCACAAATCTGGTAGTTTTGACACCTTAATCGGTATGGCAGTAGAACAGGTCCAAAATCTGTAACTACAGGAAAAATCTGTAGACTTAAGCAGTCCTGTGCTACGTGAACAGACAAAGACATAAAATTTCAGTCGCATCCACAAAAAGATTGGAAAAACAAGCTGTTATGAGGCACTCAAGGTTAACTTTTGCAAAGAGAAACAAAAGTCAAGTTTATAAGTCACCTGATAAGGGAGGAGTGCACGTAAATTGACGAAGTTCTTGCATCTTCCCAACAAACACAGTGACATACTTCCGAAAGTGCATTCTGTGGCATTGGTAGTCTAGTGGTTAGGCTACCAGACTTGTAATCGTGAGGTTGCAGATTCAGGGGTTCGAGCTTGAAGCCCGACATTGTGTCCTTGTGTGAAAGGCACTTTACATGAGTTTTCCTCACTCCAACCAGGTGAGAATACATACCCAGCCACAGACAGCAAAAGATGTTAGTGTTTTAGCACATGTAAATGGCAGCTTGCACTGTATGCTTGTCAGAAAGTTGAGATTGTTTGAGAATGCTATCAGGTCTGCTGGGGTAATAATATGGCTTGTAAAGCACATAGTGCTTGCTGTTGAGCAGAAATTTGCGCTTTACAAATGCTATATATATTTATTGCACAAAAAAATGCCAAATTTAAAATCTTGAGTATCAACCCTGTTTTACCCTGACATCTTTATCTGATTATGCAAAACAAAACGATAAATATGGATGTATTGGCACAGGTATGGTATGAAGTTACATATGTGTCCCTGCCGGTCAATATCAGTCAAATGAAGGAAATTTCAAAACTGAGTTAACATTATTTTTAAAAACTATCACCTTTTCCTACAATTTAAAACTAGAATGAAGTAAATATAGACAATATTTGACAAAAATACAGAACTTTTAATCGTGCGAGGTGAGGAAACATAAAAAGGAGAAAATGGCCTCCGAAGTTGAGCAACATGTTTCCATAGCAATGGGAGTCTTAGAATTAAGGTAGAGACTTGAAATTTAGCAGCTATCTTGGCTATGCCACTACAAGGTAACATACAAAGGTAGAAAACTATTCATTAACAGAGAAAACACTTCTGGACAAAACAAAATTTTTATGAGAATGGACTTGGCGTCAAACGCAACAAAATGTCAGCATTATACTAGATACCAGATACTAAATTTTCAAAGTAGCTGTATGTCAAATTCATCTGTTTTATATGAAAGGCCTATGTCTCCTGAGAATTTTGGTACCATACTTTTACCTCTCAGTCAATGTTTAAGAGAATGGCAGCTGTTTCAACGTAATATAATAATCAAATATTGCTGAAGTCGCTAACTGGCTGCAACCCCATGTTTGACAGATAATAAAAGAGTACCAAGTGCACTAAACATCTCTACATTAACAGAGTACAATCATTATCAAAAAGAAATGAAGCCTAATTTTTTTCAAGACTGTGAGACCATTACAAATCAGTATTTTATAGCCTCAAAAACGATGATCTGTCGTTATTTCAATAAATCACAGAGCATTGTCCCAGCTGGCCCCGCACAGCCATAGCGGCGAGTGAGTCGGCTAAATACTGTAGTATACTGAGTGCTCCCGGTAGTTTCGCGAAAGGATTCATGCAGAATAATTCCAAACCGATGACTTTATACTAATTGAAAAAAAGCTGTTCTTTCTATTGGTATCTTTTTTAGCCGGTATTTTACCCATTTCAAGTTTAAAATTATCTTTCAAAACTTAGACGCTTTTTTTTAAAGGTTTTACATCCAAACACCAAAGGCCAAAAATAATAACCAAGGGAAACCAAGCTCAAAACTGTACAGTTCATCGCCAATGAAAAGACGATATTTAATCATCAATCTTTCTGCAAAGCATTCCAATGTCTGGGTGTCAATTTTGAACAGGCCGACCTCGCATTCCTACCGCGAGGGGCTTCCCTTTCCACAGCGATTCTCCAGCTCCAAATATTCGGATATACATACAACTTTCTTCACTATTGCAACGAAGAAAATCTGAACTTTTTCAAAGAATTCAGCATTTGGTGTTTTAAAGCAAAAGAGAAAAGAAACAGAGATCTGAATTACCGCCATTTCACCGAAACCACACGCTCGGAAGGCCGCGAGCCGATTTACGTGCCGTGTTTACCCTACCTAATTATACGTTTGCAATACCACCATAAACACACGAGAGCACGCACACACATTCACACACACATACAAACACACCAAGGTATCAACACACACATAGACTGCCTCGGTGGCCTCTTGGTAAGGAGTCCGCTTTCAGAGATCTAGGGGAAGGTTAATTAAATTTTTTTAAGCACTAAAACACAATAAAAACGAATCATTTTTTAAGTCAATCCAAGTGTAAAACTGAAAGATCAACAGATGAAAACAGCTAGCAGGGTACGCCCACACAGTCAGCTGTTTACGTAAACAAGCTTGAAGTGAGCTAGAAGTTACCGTTTTTACTCCGTTTTACCAATCAGAGTTGTTTACATTTCAGACCATTCATGCTCGAAAAGGGGTCAAAATCTAAAAATAGTTGCGAAAGAAGAAGGTTGAAGTAAAGGTGGCTATGAGGTAATGGTTCTAAAGATAATCTCACACCTACACACTAGCAAGGTCCAAAGTTCTTTATCTCGTCCCCCAAGCTCACAACAAACCACACACACCTCCAAAATAAATCAAAATAAAATATTTATGGTCGATTATAGTTGCTTATTTTTATCTTAAATGAAGCAGAAGACATCAAACTTTCAATATATCCAAAAAACAAAAATTTCATGGAAAGTCACTTTTTTGCCTTTCGAGCCTCGTAGCTGATAATAGCACACTGCGTCTTACGACTGATATTGACCGGGGGAGACAGATATATATTATGAATAACTATTCCTTCATGAAAGTCACTCTCTAAAATATAGTCAAACTGTCCAAGACGGCCACCCACTGGCAAGGAGAAAAGTGATCGTCTTAGGCAGGTGGATATCTTGGACAGTGTCATTACGATGATGTTGGAGAAATATTATACAAGGGTGGGAAGTGGTCATATAAAAGGATGATTTTCTCAGACAGGAGACTGTTACAGCAGGTTCGACTGTATATCGATCTGAAAAACACCATTTTTTATATTACATCTCATTGACAGTTCATTACAGCAGTCATGTATGAACCCTTTATCTCTGGAATTCTTTCCCACACTTGGACAGAATTTAATTTTGGTCAGTCAGAATGGAGAGCATGGTCACTTACAATTATTAATTTGGTTGTGATTTCTCACCAAATAGAGCCATAAAAGTCAATAGAATGGGAAATAAATGCAGAATCCTAGTGTAAACTTCAGTGCCGAAATGTCAATCAAATTGTAATTTAAGGACCAAAAACAAACAGCAAAAAAAAAGAGTCAAATTTGAGAATCACCAACACAGTAAAATATACATTTCTAAGGGCTTACTATTTTTGTGTGCGTAAGTCGTTTTTTTTTTCAATCTCCACTCAGTTCTGAACGTGCCTGTCACTTTTCATTGTGAAGAAATGATTTTACACAAAATTACCGACATTTCCGTGCAATCAATTCAGCTTTGAAATCGATAACACAGGAGCCACAAAATGAAGTAATGCATGATTCAAAACATCGCTTTTCTCCTTCAAATAATCAATTGAACAGACCCCCTAAGTGAAAACTGAACATCTGTTCACAGAATACATGTCACACTTTTCGCGTAACAAGCACTTTTCAGCATCTATTTGGAACTATTGCATTCTCATCGGCCGGTGACTCCAGCCACTGCCACTCGGAGACAATAGGCTAAACAGCATCAAATCATCCGAGGGGAAAATAAATTACTAGAATTATTGAAAACTAAAAGTTATGCATCCTCAGTTAAAATATGAAATTGAAGTTTATCCTCATCCTATAAAGAAGTTCATTTCAATACTTAACTCTGATATCTGATTATAAAGAGGAAGCCTTGTCTTAGGCAAGCAATATGAACGTGCTACCATGACTTAGAGGAGAGGACACCTGGAAATCTGGAAATTTTGAGGGTTTGGGGTTGGGGGTTACAAACCACTTTCCTTGAACAGAGTACATCTCACAGAGATTATTTCCAGCCTGTCAGTGCCAGTTCTGGAAAATGTTTCTTTTTTTCTTTTTTTTTTGGGGGGGGGGGGTGTAAATAAACCAACCCATACCCCCCCCCCCCCCCCCCCAAAAAAAAATAATTCTCAAACTGCTGAATACTGGGATGTCCTTCACCTAATGACTTAATAGCTTAAGTACTATTGCAAATGCCCCAGAGTTGTTTAGCACAAAGATACCTGTCATTTGTGAGAAAAAAGTCACATAACAATTTCTTTATAATATTTCTTCACTTAACTGAGGAAATGATTGTCAGTCATTACTATTTCAGGATAAAAGAGAATTCCCCATGTCCAAAACACTGCACACCTAAACAAAATCTGAGAAATTTTTTTTTTACAGATATTTACAAAATCTGTCTAATATTTTTCTGTCATTGCACCAAGTTTTCCAAAATAGGACAGTGTTTTTATAAACCGGAACAGTTATCAACCGTTTTGTTTGTGCAATAATTCAAACTCAATTTTTTTCAAAGGAAACAAAGAGGTTGATAAAGGTGAATTGTAAATCGACTTTTCTCTGCAAACTCAGTATCCATACAGTGATAACTTGTCCTTTTAATTAAGAAAAAAAATTTAGAAAAGAGAAATTCCGGTGCTAAAAGAGACACCTCTCCCCTCCAAGTAAGAATCATATAAGCCTTTTACACTTTAAAAAAGTAAGATAATTAAAGGCACTAACCTGGCAATGTCAGCTACTTCAATATGACCAAGTTTGTACGGAACATCCTTCCACTTCTTGTAAAATTCCAGCTCTGTATCGCCAACATCAAACCCAAACTGGTTGATAGCAAGAACAACAAAGGGAGTTCCTGCATGAATCATCATGGATCCCAAGTGCTGGAAACAAAACTTGCCAGTCTCTGGTTCCCCTTGGCATCTGATTGAACCAAGAAGACGAGCATCATCCACAGGTCTGGCTTTGTCATACGGCCAGACTTTTATCTTGTCCAACAGAGCTCTGAAACATACAAATTTGAAATAGCCTTTCATATATAAGCAAATAGAAACAGTAAAATGACAAAGGAGATCTGCCTATACTGTGCTTTTGTTACAACTGTGGTTAAAAAATCAGTTGATAGAATTTCTATGGCAAGGAAAATCAATTAATTATCATACCAGGCAGGCGCATAAAAAGCTATAAAAACTGAAAGGGTGTTGTACATCTTCCAATTGTCAATAAGCTTGTTCACATTTTAGTTTTTTTAAAAAGAGAGCAAATCATATATATGTACATAAAGCAACGAGAGGGCTAACAAATAAAATTTCTCAATATTATGCTTTTCAAATAGACAGAGCCTTTGTACTTATTGAAAAACTTGAAATACTAAGGCTGAAAATATACTGCCACGCACAACTGAAGTGCGCCACGAAAAGGAGGAGCAGCTAAATCGGAAATGAAGATCCCATAGGTCAACGCAACTCCGTTCGACTGTGTAAAACAAATGGCGCTGGGCAGGCTCAGTGGTCGCGTTGCCCCCCCCCCCCCTTGTTTATCTCCACAGCGTCGCGGAACACTCCGATAGCAGAGCAAGCCTGCCGGCACGCGAAAAACAAGTGCTGCAAGCACGCACGTCTTTTTGGGTCCTCACGTCTAGTCATGTCAGTGAAATCACCGATAGGAAATAAAGAGGAGGGCACGACTTTTTTCGCGGCACACCTCAGTTGTGCGTGGCAGTATATTTTCAGCCTAATATCACTGAATTATCCACAACTGTAGCATTAACTACATCAACAAAACATACTCTCTCAAACTACCCTTTTCCATGTTCGCAGGTCTATGGTTAAGTCAATCAATACTACATATGTCAGTCTCATGTACACTTACCCAATAATAAATTCAAAAACTCACCTGTCAACATTTACCCTGTGTGCATCGTTGATTATCTTTATGTCTTCACTTGTGATGGTCACCTTTCGGCACAAGCGGCACACCTGGCAGAAGAAGAACAGTCATGAAGATTCCTCTTATCCCTCCCAGTATTTTTTGTAAATGCTAAATAAGCTTGTCACTTGTCAGTCTCACGAGGTCGCATGAGTCATCACAATTTAATTTTCGTGAATGGCTTTGATGGAGATAAGACTACCAAACTGAAAAAGACAAGATTGAAAACAGTCTGTGACTAGTGTGAGGTTCAAAATTAGAGCTTTAGATCTTTACACTTGGGGAGAGTGAATGGGAAATGGGGTACCAAGGGAAAAAAATGAAAGGGTCAACAAAATATTTGTAACCATTATTCCTATACTATGTGCACATACCCAAAAAGAATACTCATATGATATCATTTATATTCATTTCATATATCATTTTATTTGAATTTTAATAATCATTCTTTGTCTTCCAGAGCCAGACCTAAAACTGGAGCAGCCTTTACATTGTATATACAGTACGCAACAACAGATGCCTGGAGAGCACCGTGGGTAGGTTCTACTTAATTATCTCTCTGTTGTTTATGGCAGTCTGTCTTACTTTTATTAGGCAACAAATGATTGTTATCAAGTCAATGTGCTTATAATTATCTCATACACATACATACAGTTCACAACTTTCTTTTAACCTTTGTGTCATAACACACAATCTCAGTTCTCAGTACCTAATCATTTAAATATTTTTCCAATATATGTGAGGCATCATGGTGAAATCAGGTGTTTGTCAAAATAATGAATTAAAGAAACTGGCATTTTTCTGCAGCTTTGTCAATTTTCTTCTTTTTTTTGTCTTTAAGCTCAACACCTTTTCTGTTCATTTCAAAACACATTTCTGTATGGATTTCACTGAAAATCGTTGATTGGAGGCACAAAGGATGTAAATTTTCAGTTTCAAGCTATGGAAGTTACCAAACTTTGGTAGCCATTTTCTCTCTAATTTTACATCTCAAACCGAGCGACCGCCACTTTCTTCAATTGTAAATATCTCAACTTCTATTCAAGATAGATGAGTTTTCTTTTTTTTTTCATCAAAAGCAAGACAAATGAACAAACTTTAAGATGATACCAATAATTCCACATGCCCAAAAACTGACGAGCACCTGATTCCACCAAATTGTGACTCATATTATATGTGAGACATGGTAGTGAAATATGATGCTCATCAAAATAATGAAATTAAACTCAAAAGAGACCGGCATTTTTTTCACCGGTTTGACAATTTTTGTCCAAATTTTTGTTTTTTTGACTCCACAACTTCTAAGTCCCTTTCACTCATTTGAGCCTATTCCCATGGATATGGACTGAATCCCGTTTACCGGATGCGTTTTATTGATCTATATCTCCATTGTTTTTCTGTGACAATCTACGGAAAGCGGAGATCTAACAGTTGACTCACTTGTTTCATTTCGATACAAATTTGGTGAAGTTATGTGTGATACTTTTTAGCTGTAACGGAGTAAGTCAGTCACCCCACCATTGCAATGGAAGCTCAGTGAATGGAAACAAGCAGTTATTTTTAGAGTGGAGATATCTTCTCGAAGACATAAATGAAACAGGTTTTAAGTGTTTAAAAGGTCTGATCGTGAAGTAGAAGGCTAAAGCTCCCACAATGTCCCACAAAACTTACTAGAAGTAGCTAGATCTATGGATAGGGCTGTAGCTCAGGTGATGAACAGTTGGGAGTCGGAGTTGGGTGAAAGTAAAAGTGGGAATCAGAATATGTTTCTTCTTCTTCTTCCAAGTCGAGTCCAAGTGATAAACAAATATAGCAATTCTAGCTGTGGGAACAGTAGCACTAAATCTATTAGTTGCAGGTGTAACAATACACAAGGTGAGAAAGGGACAGTAGTATCTCAGTGTAGACTTCAGACAGAAGTATAGCAACAGGACACTGTCGTATCATTTGTGAAATGCATCATGTTCCCCCACTGGGACTCGATTTCATGCTTCCACACCTACACTCAACATACAAAAGTTAAAACTAAGTGCTTGTATGTTGTTTCTGAGTTATTCAGAAAATGTTTTGTAACACATAGAAGAAGTAATGTGAACACCCGGAGTTGCTAATTCCAAGCAGGAAAGGTATTTTTTGCTAGACGATTTTATTACAAAATGGGGGGAAAAAATTGCGAAACCCCCAGATTTTGCAACTTCGAAATATTTATAAAATAAAAACTATTGGGACAAATCAGATGTAGTTTTTTCTTTCTGTGAGAGTATTTCTTTCTTTCTTTTGTTGCTTTTTAAAAATTATGATAGCTTTCACAGTATTTTTGTGGTCAACGAATAGATAAACCCAAAAATAGTCAGGCCGCAATGATTGTTGGGTAAAAAGTAGCTCAGGCTGAAGTGAGTTAAAAACATATGTCTGGGCGGATTTTATTGAAAAACATCGATTAAAAGCACAAAACATGTAAATTTTCAGCTTCCAAGGACTCTCAAGATATGGAGGTCACTGAACTTTGACAGCCATTTTCTTGCTAATTTTACCTCTGAAACCAGGCAGCCCCACCTCCTTCAATTCCAAATATCTCGGCTTCTATTCAAGAAAGAATAGGTCTTTTTTTCATCGAAAGATAGACAATAACTCCACATGCCCAAAAACTGACGAGCGTCTGAGATTCCACCAAGTCGTGTCACATATGGCTGTTTTTCCCTGCTTTTTCACTTAAAAAATACTTCCAAATTTTGTAAGTGTTCTTAGAATCAGAACTTTCATCAACCATAATAAAAAAGGTTTAACACTTCTGAGGGCTGCGAATGAATCTCTTACCTCTTTATCTGCTTGGGGTTTTGAAAGGATTTTGTTGGGGTTTTTCCCCTAAATAAAATTCTGATCAAGGATGTTACACAAAAAAATGTATATTTAGATCAAATACGCTAAATATAGTTGTAGCATACAGCAAAATGTCCGGAAACAAATGAACTTTTATCAAATGTGCATTTTGTTGGGAAATTTATTTATCTCTCTATGTTATGCAATCATAAACACGCCCATAATTTTTTCTTCACACAAAAGTTGGGGAAACAAAATCATGACTTCCCATAGGAGAGTTTCACATTCGCATTTATCGCATCCTTGAACGCAATCACGAGGTGTGCGTCTCTGAGCAGTTCAGTGAAATATAGCTGCTCCGAGCAAATAAAAAGTTAAAGAGATTTACTAGCATATCTAACTCCCTAATATGTAGGCCTACAAAGGAAACTCAATAAATTTTTAAGCAGAGATGTTGAAAAATGACGAAAATTAAAATTTCTGTAAAATGTGTACTTGAGACTTCGTAACAATGGTACCTAGATCCCTTTCCAGTTTAAAATTAGAAAACTACATCTTATTTTACAAAGGCATTAAGCCTTAATTGGAAGTATTTGATGCCTCCTGTCTTGTACATAACTATGACAACACAATGTCAAGTTTGTTGTTTAACTCATTTACTACTGGGCCCTTTCACCAGTCAGAAGCATTGAAGACTAGCGTTTTTGGGCATATTTCAATAAACCACTACAACTCTCAGAATTACCCTATTGTAATTATTTTTTGACACAGTAAAGTAACATTCAAGCTTAATCTAATACAAAAAACTAAAGTTGTCTAAGTCTAATCCTTTAATTTGCATGATTTTTTAAAAATTGGCATGGATTTGATTTTCCTAAAAATTTCCAGACGTGACAGGTAGAATGAAATTCACAACAACAACGAAAATAAAAGTTTAAAGTGTTCTGTTTTGATTTGTATGCATGTGTGAGTGTTTGGTGAAAATATAAAAGCTGATCTGTGCATTGATTCAGACCCATACACTAATTACATGAGACAGATGTACGGTACGACGTTGTGATTTCGTTGCGCGAACAACACCAGTCTAGATCTAGCCCTAAAATTACGACTCGGGCCGTGTTCGGGTACATCTCCAGGGTCCTAACTATCAGACACATCATATTCTGAGACACTTGAACTAGTAAAACATACAGAAACATCGAAAACAGCGAAATTAAGTGATTCATGTTCATGCGACTTCTTCGACCGTAACTACGACGCGACTGTCGGATTACTATCAGCTGTATAGAAAAAAACATAGCGTGAGTTCCGGTCAGTTCAACCCCAGTTGGGGTCACTGTCCTTCACCTTCAATAATTTAAAAACTACCAGCCCCAGAGATATGAAACTAAGTCTAAGTAGCTCAGGCCTGGCCAAACAATGGTACGAGGTGGGTCATGCTATCCGTGCGTGATTTGTAGAGTGGAAAAAAAATTCCAAAGTTGATCACACAGGGCTTGTGGGAACTGTCACGAGCATCGCGGCGGGGGTCACGCAACTGTTGTGTGAACCGTCTGAAGTGAATTAATAAAAACACCATTTTCTTCTCTTTTTCTGTTTCTGAATGCTTGGTAATAATGAATACAGCTTGTTCTAGCAATAATTTTGAAATGTCATCATGCTGTTCTTATTTTTTTATAAATGTTTGTCATCACTGTTCTGCACAAGTCAATTAACATTTCAACAGCAGACATCATTATATCTCAAAAACCGTTTGACTACTCGCTCTGGCAGGTCATGACTATATGAACAGATTAGGAGTGCAAACTTGGACGAAGATTTATGCAAATTCAACAACATGTATTTCATGGCCACTATGACCAACATAAGGTTCTCACCTTTTCACAATAGCTCATGTATATTTGTTAATAATTTGTGCAATTTTAATTTGGCTTCTCTACCAACAGTGTGTCAATAGAACTTCCCTGATTTCCTTATTTTTCGGCTTTAAAAAAACCACAGTGTACAGAGTCCTTGAAACCCTGAAATGTGAAACATGATACAGCAAAGGAATACTGTGCAACAAAAAGTTCCACGAAAGAAGTGTTAACACAACAATATAAGTATGACATTAAGCAGTCCTATATTCTAAGGATATTAAACACCAAGACACCATTTCTAACAATACAAACAAAAAATAAAAATGAGCTACAAACCAAGCTGAAAGGGTCATCCTTTAGATGGTGCTCACGTCTAGCTTTCATCATATCTTGAATTTCTGCTGTCTGCAAAACCCACTCTTGATGAGTTGCTATTTTTTTGCCAATCTCCTCTTTTGGCATATCCCGGATCTTTTCTATGGCCTTTTTCATGAGTTTCGCTTTTCCCTGATTGATTGTTTCTTTTTGCCTGACTTTATCCATCGCCAGCAAAATTGACAATCCACCATGCTTTCTGCTGCGCCCTGCAAGTCCAGTAAAGAGTGACATTACACTTTTGAAAAAGCTAATATGTTATAAAGAGCACATTCATCATCATCACCATCAAGTACCATGTGTGTCGCGATGTGGTGGAATCAGGCGCTTGTCAATTTTGGGGCATGAGAGTTATGGGTATCATCATAAAGCTTGTTCATTTGTCTTGCTTTCATTGTAAAAAGTACACATCATTTACATTTTTTGTGTCTTTGATCAACGTTGTTCAGTAAAATCAACATTGAATGGGTTTTTTAATGGATATTAAAGATGTTGAGCTAAAAAAGAAACTCAAAAAAAATTTGACTGACGTCAATAAAAATGCAGATTTCTTTGATTTCATTATTTTGACGAGCGCCTGATTTCACCATGATGCCTCACATATATCGGCGATCATGATTCTCTATTCATCCTTTTGCTCAGATGCTCTTTAAAAGCTACATCACCCTGATCTTTCCCTGTCACCCATCTGTTTAATTTCTCCAAGTAGGTTCTTCTGGGCCTACCCCTGCCTCATTATCCTTCAATTTTGCCAGTGAGAGCTAGATGTTCAATACCTATATGTCTATTTATGCGCCCAAAATTGTTTTGTCTTTTCTTAATTGTTTTTATCAGTGAACGTCCCAAGAGGGCTTTTTCAAGTACTACCTTATTTCCTTTCTAGTCCTTCTAAGACATTCTCAACAGTCTCCGAAGAAACCATATTTCTCTTGCTTCTACTTTATTTTCACTGTCTTTAGTGATTGTCCAGCATTCACAGCCATACAGAAGGTTTGATTGCTTTAAAAAATGTAAAATGATCCAGACTACAGTAAGACAGAGGGCAAAGGAAATGTAAAGCACAACTGATCTTAACATTTAACCTCTGCCACTTTTCAGCAATTCATTACCTATCAAAGCATGGACTTACACTTCATTTTAACAATTTTCATTTCAAAACAGAATGAAAAAGCTGAACACTTGCCCCCCATCACTACTTACCAAAATTCAAGGCACCAGATAGTGAGGACCAAGGACTGACAATGAGGTACACTGCTTTCAAAGTAATGTGAATCGGTCCCATCGCACCAATCATACAATAACTTGATCTGAATTAGTAGTATGACAGGCACAGTAGTATTTATCTGAATTTTTTCAGTAAAGGAATGAAAACATTATACTGTTTACTAAGATAATAGAACCAGCAAAATATTACACATAAAAACATAATAATTCTAAAACATTAGAATAAAGCCCAATTTTTCAGTTACATTGCTTTAATGTGAAGTTTCGAGAAACAACAAACTGCCTCCCAACTTGCTCTAAAGAAAAACAAACCTCGAGTTTGCACAGTGGTGACCTCATTTCCAACATGGTTGTATTTAATCACCAAATTGCATTCTGGGATATCCAAACCTTCCTCCGCCACGGAAGTGGACACCAATAACCTTGTCTCTCCACTCTGAAAACGTTGGATGACAGCATCTTGCTCTGCTTGAGTCATGCCTACAGCCAGAAGAAAATTTCCAGTTAACCAAAACACATTATATTGAACTAAATTGATGCAAGTTAATACAAAGCATAGTTATGTCTAGCCGCTTTTGTACTTTATTGTAACTAAAATGAAAATATACTTTTTTATTTAATCATAATCAAATTCAGGAAACCCAGCAGCATACATTCCTAGCTTATGAATTTAAATAATTTTTTAGAGTGTGGAATCTATCATTTCTGTGTCCTGTAAGGATAATAAGGAATATATCCCAAACACACAGAAAGGACAGGGTGTGTGCTAGCAAGGGTATAATATCTCTCAGTCTTTATATTTCTAGAAAGTAAAAAAGTTCTGTAGACAAAATAATTTATTTTTTAACCTCTTCCCTGCACTGTGGGTGTACCTGGCATGCCCAAATAATTTGCTTCCACATGTGCTGTGGGCATACCTGGTATGTCCTTGAAAACCAGTGTTTTGTTTCATTCATTTCTTTGCGTCTACAGTTCTGAATGAAAAGATTATAGTAGTCTTCATTCTTCTCTTGCTGATGAAATCATGTCTGTTCTTCAGTTGCTATGCGCAGGAATCACATGTTACAGTAATAGTGTCTAAAACAGAGCAAGGTGTGAAGTGTGTTGTGACCGAAAGAAAAAGTTAGCTTCTTTTGTAGAAAATGGACTTATGTGTTGTATAACTGCTTAGTAACTGTATTGTTCTATATGAATTACAAAACAACTTAATTACCACTTACTACAGAGGTAGTCTAGGATCCAAACATACTTTGAAACTAACTGGTAGTCAATCAAGTATTTAGTCTTTGACATCCTTAGGTTCATCGTTGTGTCTTATGAAAAATTATAGCTAGCTATATAATATACAATTTTTTTCTCATTCTACCCAGATTAAAACCAGGAATCAGCTTATTTCATGCTTGAATAAACTGGTAATAGAGAAGTTAGCTGTGAAAAAATGAACAAAGTACCTCTCTGTTCTGTTTTGGATAATGTAAACACAGATTATATCTGCCTCTGATAACTTAACATACCAAGAACAAACATTAATAATTGCAAACAAGGGGAGAGGACATCTTTACTGACCTCCCTCGTCAGCTGAGGCCCCCGCCCCAGTGAAAGTCAAAGCATTGAGGGCCCGGAGTTGACTATGTCGACACCTCCTGAGCCAAGATTTCAAAGCATCAGCCATAGCCCTTGTCTTGACAAAGATGATCCCTCTGGACTTGGCTCCTTTTTTTATTAAATGCTTGTCCAGCAAAGATGCCAGCATCTCCAGGTTTTTATTACTATCAAGTTCTCTGTTCTTTACAGACTTCTGAAGCTCTGCAGTGAGGAAAAAAAATATTTAGAAAGGAAGAGGAAAGGCAATTGTGGAGTTCAGAAACTAAAAAGCAATTTCAAAGATGCAGTTTATCCATTAGAAATACAACGCAGGTTATTCACAATGTTGACATTTAAATGACACAATGAAATTTAAAGAAGAGATTGAATAGTTTGAGCAAAATAATGATTTAAAAAGAGATATGTTACCAAATTTTGGAACACCCTCGTTTTGAGAATACTAATAATAATAATAATGAAGATCATTTCTATAGCGCCCACTCCTGTGTAAACACAGCTCTAGGCGCTTTACATAAATGCATGTAAGAAAAATATACATGCACGCGACACACACACGCACTCACACACACACACTCATATACACACAAACACACACACATATACATATACACACACACAAACACACGCATACACACTCACGAACACATAACACCACATATGTATGCCAAACACACACACACACACACACTCTCACACACACACACACACACACACACACACACACACACACACACACACACACGTACACACACACACACACATCTACTTGCTTATCACACGCACACGATTACACATCGTCACGAAATGAGAATAAAATAATATATATACACTGCAATTCACAAAATACATAAATGGATACATAGACATTTACATAACATTGTATTGAACATGAATCTGCTGACTTAAAAAGGATGTCATTAAATGTGTCTTTAAAGATTTTAAAAATTTAGACTCAGATGTTGTATGTCTCAAGGGTTGGGGAAGAGAGTTCCAAACTGACGGAGCAAGGTGGGCGAACGATCTTTCGGCTAATTTTTTACCGCCTTTTCTAAGAACTCGTAAAAGATACTGGTCGCCTGATCTTAGTGATCTAGATGGAACATAAATCTGGATGAGATCACTAAGATATGAGGGAGCTTTGTTATTGACACATTTATGACATAATATTGCAATTTTATATGACATTCTAGCTGACACGGGAAGCCAATGCAACGTTCTTAACATGGGATTAATGTGGTCCCTCTTCTTTTTCTTTAGTAGAAGCCTAGCAGCATGATTTTGAAAACGTTGTAACTTGTGAAGACAGGTATTTGGTAAGTTAGCTAGTAAAGCATTGCAATAATCGATGCAATAATATTCTCAAAATGCACATAGCTGCCATCAATGACCTTAAGACAAGTATGGGCTATTCAAACTGACAGGACAGAAAAAATACTTCATTTGTCCCTTCAGTTACTGAAACTAAATACGTTATAGAATTTGCATTAAGTACTCATTTTTCAAATGACGGTATTTACTATGATTCAAAATATGTCTATCAAACGTTCTGATCATTTAAAGTTGAAATAAATTCATTGATATTGAATTACAGTGTTATCATTTAAGAAAGTATAATCCAAATGTTATGTCCGTTACCGTGGAATAGCCCATATATAGCTGTCTAGGGAAATATGTAACTAAAATACTTTTACCTTCAAATCTGTCTGCCCCGCTCAATATCAGTCGTAAGACGCAGTGTACTAGAGTCTATTATCAGCTACGAGGCTCGAAAGGCAAAAAAGTGACTTTCCATGAAATTTTTGTTTTTTGGATCTATTGAAAGTTTGATGTCTTCTGCTTCATTTAAGATAAAAATAAACAACTATAATCGACTGTAAATAATTTATTTTGATTTATTTTGGAGGTGTGTGTAGTTTGTTGTGAACTTGAGGAGACGAGATAAAGGAATTTGGACCTTGCTAGTGTGTTGCTGTGAGATGATTTTTAGAAACATTACCTCATGGCCACCTTTGCTTCAACCAAAGATTCTCCACTAGTGGAATTCGCAACTAATTTTAGATTTTGACCCCTTTTCGAGAATGAATGGTCTGAAATGTAAACAACTCTGATTGGTAAAATGGAGTAAAAACGGTAACTTCTAGCTCACTTCAAGCTTGTTTACGTAAACAGCTGACTGTGTGGGTGTGCCCTGCTAGCTGCTATCAACTGTTGATCTTTCAGTTTTTCACTTGGATTGACTTAAAAAATTTGTTTTTATTGTGTTTTAGTACTTTTAAAAGATTAATTAACCTTCCTCTAGATCTCTCAGAGCGGACTCCTTACCAAGAGGCCACCGAGGCGGTCTATGTGCATGTGTGTGTATGTGTGTTGGTGTGTTTGTATGTGTGTGCATGTGTATGTGTGTGCGTGTGTGTGTGTATATGTGTGTGTGTGTGTGCTCTTGTGTGTTTATGGTGCTATTGAAAACTCACAATCAGGTAGCGTATACACGGCACTTAAGCCGACTCGCGGGCTTCCGAGAGCGTGGTTTCGGTGAAATGGGGGTAATTCAAATCTGTTTCTTTACTCTTTTGATTTAAAACATCAAATGCTGAACACTTTGAAAAAGTTCAGATTTTCTTTGCTATAATAGTGTAAGTTGTTTATATATCCAGGTATTTGGAGCTGGAGAATCACAGCGGAAAGGGAAACCCCTCGCGGTCGGAATGCGAGGTCCCCCGGTTCAAAATTGACACCCATGCAATCGAATGCTTTGCAGAAAGATTGATGATTATATACCGTCTTTTCATTGGCGGAGAACAATACAGCTTTGAGCGTCGTTTCCCGTGGTTATTACTTTTGGCCTTTGGCATTTAGATAGAAAACCTTGAAAAAAAAAGGGTCTAAGTTTTCAAAGATCATTTTTAACACGAAATATGTAAAATACCGGCTAAAAAAAGGTACCAATAGAAACAACAGTTCTTTTTCTATTCGAACAAAGTCATCGGCTTGGAATTATTTTACATGAATCCTTCTGCGAAACTACCGGAAGCACTCAGTATACTACAGTATTGAGCCGGCTCGCTCGCCGTAAAGGCTGTTGCAACGCCGGCCAAGACAACGTTCGGTATTTTTATTGAGATAACGACAGATCATCGTGTTTGAGGCAATAAAATACTGATTTGTAATGATCCCACAGGCTTGAAAAATATAAGGTTTCATTTCTATGTTATAGTGATTGTACTCTTTTAATGTTGAGATGTTTGGTGAACTTGTTACTCTTTTACTATCTGTCAAACATGGGGTGGCAGCCAAAGACTTCAGCAATATTCGATTATGTTAAATTGAAACAGCTGCCATTCTCTTAAACATTGACTGACAGGTAAAAGTATGGTACCAAAATTCTCAGGAGACATAGGCCTTTCATATGAAACAGATGAATTTGACATACAGCTACTAAAAAAATGTATTATCTGGTACGTAGTATAATGCTAATAATTTGTTGCATTTAACGTGAAGTCCATTCTCGTTAAAATTTTGTTTTGTCCAAAAGTTTTTTCTCTGTCAATGAATAGTTTTCTACTTTTGTATGTTAACTTGTAGTGGTATAGCCAAGTTAACTGCTAAATTTCAAGTCTCTATCTCAATTCTAAGACCCCTATTGCTATGTGAACATGTTGCTCAACTTCGGAGGCCATTTTCTCCTTTTCGTGTTTCCTCACCTCGCACAATTAAAAGTTCTGTATTTTCGTCAAATATGGTCAAAATTACTTCATTCTTGTTTCAAATTGTAGGGAAAAGGTGATAGTTTTTTAAAATAATGTTAACTCAGTTTTGAAATTTCTGTCATATGACTGATATTGACCGGCAGGGAAAGAAATATACATTTATCTCCAGCTAACAACACGCTGTGTAAGAAATTTGTTTCCTAAGAATCAGCTTTAGCTAGGTCATGAAATTTTTTTAATAATTTGCATGCAAAGAACCCATTCTGAAAATAAATATACTCCTAAGAACCAGATCTAAAAATAAATATACTCCTAAGAACCAGACCTAAAAATATAAATTTACCAAAAAATCTCTTCACGGCCAGACTTGGAAAAAATCTATACTGTTATGAAGTTAAAAAAACACAGTTGGGGGTGTTTGGGGAAGGAAAGGAGGGTGTAACATTGAAGGAGCAAAGAGATGCCATAATTGATAAAGTCACAGTCTTTGTTTGGGCGAAGGAAGTGGAAGTGGACTTGTGAAGATAAAATCTACATATTGTATAATTTACATATTTACACTGGCACAAAACGTTTTTCAGCAACGCACATGAACTTTGCTGAGCAGATTGATTGCAAAGTGGTTTTTGACTGGTTCAGTCACTTGTTTTTCTTATGTGACAAAGTCTCCATATGTCTTTTATCAAAGTTGGCCCCTTCACTCTTCCCTCTTAGGCAGTACTGTTACTGGTACTGTTTCATAGTTTCAATTTGGCACTTATACGACCAAATTGTGTCACCAGTGCCGTAAAACTCTTACTAAAACTTTGAAAATAGTTTCAGTACCCTATCAGTCAGTATGTTAGTGTATTAGCGCCTATAAATGTCAGCTTGCACTGTATGCTTCCCAGGAAGTTAAGAATGTTTAAGAATGCTATCAGATCTGTTGCGGTAATAATATAGACCGCAAAGCGCATAGAGCTTTCTGTTGAACAGGAATTTGCACTATACAAATGCTATTTATCATTATTCTATCAAATCTATACTATGTTATGAAATTTCACCAAGAAACCTGAAGCCACGGTTTCTCATTCGAACCCTAAACAACACACAAAACTCACTACTATTGGCTCACACATAGTAATTTGTTAAAGACTAAAAAGAAACCCAACCCTCCAACTTTCTCCAGGCTGTATAGGTATTCATCATACAACAAACAAAACAGGAACTCAGGAAGGTGACTGGTAGGAGCTGTGTTGCACCCTTTGAAATCCACCAAAGAACCCAGTCCACCTAAGACCCGCTTTTTATGTCTCCTGACAACCGGGTTCTTAGGTGGAAAACCATTGTATTTTTCAATTGTGTGTTAACACTCACAAAACTTAAAGAGTCATAGTGGCAACACACATTATAGTCCAGCTATTTCAGTACAGCAGTCCACAAAGATAACCATGAATCTAGTAAAACAGCAAGCATGTGGCACACAAAACCTGATAAATGTAATCAAACCTGATAAGTATTTGATATATACAGTATTTGAGTTTTAGTTTACTTTAGTTTATTATGGGGTTTTACGGCGCTCGCAACTGCATAAGGTCATATATGAGCGCGCGAAACACAAGTTAGTTCTATTCGCAACAGTTCACTGTACGGCTGGGCTCAGGTCAGTAGTTTGATCTTAAAATGTTAAAATATTTAAAATTCAGTGAAAATATATTTTCAATCTAAAACAACTTTCCTAAATATCATTTAAAAATTTTATAATTTAATTTCACTCTATAATTTCCCATAAAGGCCAAATGGCCTTCATAAAATCTAAAATTCTGTTGGGATTGACGGAAAAAATATCTTGCAATTTTTTGCATTTAAAGTATTTCCTTTGGGTCTCTCCGAAGTCTAGACATTCGGTTAAAATGTGTCTAGTGGTAAAAATCTGTGTCGCATAACGGCTTCTCTTATCCCTGAAGGAGGCATTTGTGTGTTAGGGCCATGTGTCCGAGGCATAATCGAGTAAAAATTACTTCATCTCTTCTGGAGAGGCCCGAAGGATTTCGCGGTCCCAGTTTGGATTTAATGTTGTGCAGTTTGTTATTTGTTTTTTCCAATGGCTCTCCCACAGACTGGAGGTGTACTTTTTTACTTTATTTTTAAAGTCAGTCTGTGGGACAGTGTTCGTCGTTGATCCCAACAGAAGGGATAAGGATTTCTTCGCCAGGTGATCTACCTGCTCGTTTCCTCGGATGCCCGCATGGCTAGGTATCAATGCGAACACGATACTTTTCCCTGTTTCAGTCAAGGTGTGTATTTTTTTTTTAAGCAAAACTATTTTTGGGTATAGGAGTGTGTAGTTTGTGAATGAGGTGATGCAAGACAGAGAGTCAGAAAGGATAAGGAAATATTTGTTAGGAGAATTTTCTATGGAGTCCAGTGCCATGTCAATGGCAGTGGCCTCCGTAGAGAAAATGGAGGCTTCGGGATAGAGTCTCCTCTGGTGTGTACTGTTTGAAGATAGGGCTGCGGTGCACATATCATTGTCTTTTTTTAAGCCATCTGTGAAGATAAACTCCGCACCGTGGTATTTTTCTATACGTTTTTTGTATTCTGCATTAAATGTTTTGGTGTTTGTGCTTGCTTTGTCGTGTGTGGTCAGCTGTAAGTCTGCTTTTGAATGATCCCAGGGACTGCATCAAAAGCTATTGGGGCACCAAGCTGCCTCACAAAAAGACACCCTGGTATGGACAAACAATGTCAAGGGTGCGTTTTGACGTGCTTTTCCACACATTCTTGCACGCAGGTGGAGTGGAAGCCGACAGCCTGGATAAAGTGGAACCGTTCCTGGATAAACTGATGGAACCTTTCCAAAGCGCTTTTTATCCACAAGAAAACGTATCGATAGATGAAATGGTGATCGGGTTCAAAAGCAGGTGGAAATACAAATAATTTAAGTGTACAAAGTCATCGAAGTATCACATAAAAACTTTTGGGTTATGTGACAGTGCAACAGGATATTTGAATGACGTATTCACCTACTACGGCAGACAGACAGCCTACCACCCAGAGCTCGACGCAGACAGCACACAAGCAGAAAAGGTATTTCAGAAGCTGATTTCTCCACTGCAAAAACTTCACCACATTTTTGGTGATCACTTTTACACTTCGGTCCCCCTGCTAAAGTACTTGTCCAAAAGGTCACACTACTACACCAGGACCATTGACATAAGACGAAAGAATTTCCCCCCAGAGTTGAAGTCGCTACAGCTGGCCCACCAAGAGATGAGGTGGTACATAGAACAGGATAACAAGTACCTCGCTGTGGTGTTTCACGATAAGAAAGCCAAGAAGTTCTGTGTTGTAGTGAGCAGCCACGGAGCAGTTGGGACCACACCCATCAGAAGTCGTCAAGCTGTTGTAGACAAACCTGACATCATTGTCAACTACAACAACAACATGAATGGCTGTGACAGAATGGACCAGCTCGTGGGCTACTATAGTGTCCACAAGAGGAAAACCTATAAATGGTGGAAAAAGATTTTTCACTGGCTTCTCGAGCTTGCCATCGTCAACGTGTCTATTCTGTTCCGGCTCTCCAGACCACGGGATGCGCAGGGGCGCCCACGGCCAACAATGAAGCTGCTCGACTTCAAGGATCAACTGGTGCTTCAGTTTGTCAATGCCTCCTTGCTGCTAGACCCTGGGCAGGAACTTTTGCTTCCACCACTAGCACCCCAAGCCCAACAAGAGGTTACTGACAACCCACTTGTCCGCTTGGCAGTCAGTAGCCACTTTCAAACATCGAAACAGCAAGGTCTGCAGCAGACCTGGTGCCCGCAAAAGAACGAAAAAAGTCTGTTCAGAGTGTCCAGGCAATCCCCATCTCTGTAAGGGGAAGTGCTTTCGTGCCTGGTACACAAAACCTCACTATAAGCAGTAAATTCTCACTGCACAGTGAGCTGCGACATGACGCCTTTGTTTTTGCATTTATTTTCATTTTGAGTGGGTCTCAATTTTCATCATAACTTTTTTTGTTGATGGATTTCCATAAAATTTGTATGAATTATAGAATATGGTGTGTGCACATGTCTGAGGAGTGTAAAGTCCCTAGGGGTACTATCACCAGAGATCTACTTTATCTAAGTTGAAATGTTGCTTTATTTTTACAACGTTCGTTTACTAAAATTAGTTTTGCATGCACAACTAATCAACTTTTTTTTTTACTCATACTCACTATATATACACATATTCTTGTAGTCCAGAATCTAAACTTTCTCTCCATGTATAATACGTGTATCTTGCAATGCAAATAGGCTGTTATAAGGACATTTGAATGTGAAGGGGTGGATTCAAAAATGTAGGTCACCAAACTAGGCCAGTCCAGTGGAGTAAAACCCCTTGGTAGTCAAAGAGTTAATCTTTTCTTTCAGACGGAAGTCACAATACTGCACTTATCAGACAATTGTATTTACCTTCAAAGTACTTGAAATATATGTCTTCTCCAGTGCATCTTCTTTCATTTGCTTGGAAATGGGTAAAGGACTTTTTGAGGTTAGCCATCACATCAATCAGTTGGACCAGGTCATAGGTCTCAAGAGCAACATTGTAGGCCTGTGGGGAAGAACATCAGGACCACATGATCAACATGATCCAAACATTTCTTTTAGAAAACATGGTCTGACCTGAAACGTCCTAGTTAAGAAATCTTGGCATGAGCACAATAAAGCCCTTATAAAAATTTGCTCAGTGAATTATCTCAAACAAATTATGACATACATTTCAAATATGTTGGTTGGAGAGTGCCACTGGCAGACCCTACTATTTTTCATTCCCTCTGTAGATTTCCGTCTGTTTACTCTTCTTTTCTCTGCACAAAATTGTCCATACTGTGTTGATGCATTTCTTGTTCAAAACTAAACCATACTCTGCATGGCATGAAATGCACTGACCAAAAGGGGGAGGGGGGAGAGGGGGAGAGTAAAAAATAGAACAAGAACTAGATAAAGTAAAGAAAAAAGTTACTAATCCAAGCTCCACAAACAAAATCATAATTTAAGGAGACACTGCCACATTAACATAAAATTCTGTGGACATGCAACAGAGCATTTTTTGTAATAATTGCTATAGCATGAAGGAGCCACTAGGCTCAGAAACCTTTTCATTGCACCCGAACTCTAAAACATGCTTGAAGCAGAAATAGTAAAGGTTAAGGCTTAGACCAGTTTATTCGTAGAAACATAAAAAGTAATAGCTAAGCTCTTGACCACCACATGCTTATAACTATGCTTCAAACAAGATTGCAACATATAAGTCATAAAGACACTAACTTAAAGATGGTTAAAGAACTTAATAGGGGAAGTCTGCAAATTCAAGCAAAATGTGTAGCTTAAGAGAAAAATGTTAAGAACTAAAGGCACACAGTGCAGTACCGTCAGATAGTCAGAGATGATGATGAGGGACCTAACAGAGAGGTTGGTCTCTCTGTTTTCTCTGCTAATTGGCACTGATCGAGCAGCATTCTTCAGCTTCACAGCCCACTGGTTGTACTGCTGACTTTTCTTATTTGCGGGTGCACCCATAGAAAACCAATCTCGAACATTCTTCACATCTGAGTTGGGAATCATGACAGAAAGTACAATGACAATTTAACCTCACAAGAAAATCAGTAAAATATTTTGACAGGGAAAGAGCCTGAAGATCACTTCACCATAACTTCCCACAAATATCACGTATAATTCATCCTCTGACTCTGTTAATTTTTCTTGGCATTTTGTATCACTGTGTAGGCCTACAAACAAAATTTCTATTGCATTATTTATTGAACACCTTCTTCATAAGCTGATGCATTAGTATTGGTTCATGCTCGAGAGATAGAGTTGGTGCTAAAATGTTGAGTTTTTAATTTTTACGTCTCTAGAAAGACAATATCATGTCCTGGAGAGTAACAGCCACCTTATCACAAGTTATGAGAACTAATCTCTAGAAATCCTTTTCTAAATGAGTAACTTTGCGACAAGCTATTGTCAACGTTTTTGTTAATCTTGATAAAAGTCATATCTCCTGTTGATGAACACAATAGGCCCTTTGCGGGGGTCGCAATATGATAAGGCTGATGACGTGAAACTGGTGGGGGCTGTACATTTTATTGTGAAGGTTCAACATGTCTGTTTTATTATTCTCTGGTCAGTTTGCACAAATTAACTTTTCAGGTTATTGGAATAAAGTACAATGTACCTCAAAGGCAGTTTAGACTATTAGACTATAATGTGTCATTTGTGGGTGTTGAAATAGAAGGGTGGTCTTAATCTGCTATTATTTCATTAATACCAGCAGACTTAAAATTGCTCGTATAAAAAGAGATCTTTGAGAGATACGGATGAGCAATGCAGAAAAATCAATCTAGGCTGATTGAGTTTTAATTAAAGTTTTACCTCAACACCTCATTCATTCAGTACAGTATAGTTCATTTACAAGACGTAAATTCCGGAATGCTATACTTATTAAAAACCACAGACGTCTGAAATTCACAAATTCTTCTGATATCCCAGGCACAAGCATGGATTGGAATCTGCATGCACCTCACCTCCCCCCTCCCCCTTTTTTTCCACTCGGTAAAAAGTAGCACAACAGTATGATTTTTAACCTACATACCTTGAGGTGAACAATGTCTCTGTTTTTTCAGCTGACAGTAAAACAATGAGCATGTACTCTGTTTTCAAGTTTAAACTGTTACCTTATTTGTAGAACTTGGGTAGGTGGCAGTAAATATTTCTAACACATACCAGCATCATTCAGAGTGATCATAAAACACTGTAAGAGTTCAAAATGAAATTCAAATGTCAAAATATAATCTTTCTTTAAGGAATTTGAAAATATTTCATGTTTTGAAGGTACAGAAGCAATTTTAACTCAATCCGACCCGTGCTCTCGCTCAATCAGTTTATTGACTAATGTGCTTATATTTTTACGTAAGGAGGCTTGAGGGGCGCTCTCGTGGCCTAGAGGTTAAGGTGTTGGCCTCTCATTCAAAGGTCCCGGGTTCAAATCCGAGTAGTGACCGAAAAATTTTCTTCTCTAAAATGTTCTCCTTTCACCTCCTTTCCTGCTTTTTATCCGCCTTTCACCTCCTTTGCCCTTTCCTCGGGACTCCGGACTCTTTCTACAGCCTTTCTACTGCTACTCCTTGGCTCCTTCTTACTGCTGTCTTTCAGCCACACCCCTGATCTTCTGGTAGGAAAGTATCTACACCTAGCCTTCTCGGACAAGGGCGAAAAATCTCGGAGGGCTTTTGTGCAAGTTAAGTCCGTAAAAGATCCCTTGGTGGTCTAAAATCGATAAGAGTAGGCTTCGGCCGCCACCCGTGCAAAATTCAAAATTTCCTACCAACTGAAAGAGTTTAATGTGACCCGCGTGATTATACGGGCTTATGCAGTTGCGAGCGCCATAAAGCACTTACCAAAAACAAAGAAAAAAGGAGGCTTGAGAGCAAAAAGTCATGATATGAAATTTCCAGATTCAAGGGCAATAACTAGGAATTGTAGGATGTACTAGAATGGCTCTCATTTCTTTATTTTCTAACAGAATGGTGTATGATTGTATCTTTGACACATAATATGCAGAACTGAATGCACTTTTCCATGAAACAGTTGTGAACTCTAAATTCTCAAACACTTTTTGACTGTTGGAAAAGTGTGACTTCTGTTTTTTGTTTCTATTTTTAGTAACAAGAAAAAAAAGGTCACACTTCAAGTACAAAAATGAAATCTGTTGGCTAGGTCTGACAGACCATTCAATTCCCTTTCCATTGATATATAATATGTCTATCTGGAGTCGCTAGATTATTGCATGAGGTTTGAGGGTATGGAGGACCACTGAAACATAAATGAAAAAGCCAAAATAGGCAAAACTGCTGGGAGTTAAGATTAGAGAGAGTATCCAATAAAGCACACTATGAATAAGTATAAACATCGTCCCTTTGATGAGCATGATCCAGATTTGGATTTCTTCATCATTTTTGCGCAGTATGTCCTTAACTACCCAATTCACCCTGCGTTGCTGCGGGCAGTGCACTTGTATCCACCTCGCTTGCTGCGAGCTGGGGGAAAAAATCAGTCTGAACTCAACACACTAAACTTAGACGCACATTGTGCCCAAACTATTTAAGGTATCAATATTAAATTTCGCTTAGATTTTACTTAAAATGTTCTTTTAATAATATTAGAGAGAAAGAGGAAGGAAGGAGCAGAAAAAAACAATGTATTTTCAGCAGTAGCCTACTCGATTTACCCATAGCAACTTATTGTAAATCTATGGTGTAGATCTAGCTTTTCTTCGAAGTTTTCAAGGCACTAAAATCAATCCGACCGCTCTGTTTTTCTAGATTTACACCTACTTTCACTTTCTTTGCCGCTTACGTCTGAAGCAAAACTAAAAGCATGGTTCTTGTATTAAAACAAAAATAGCCGTGGTACTGTTGTTTTTAGTGGCTGGTTTTTTTTGTTGTTTTTTTCTCGTCCAATAAGATTTCAGTGCTTGCTTTCTTGCCATGATTGGTTGTGACAAAATAACAAAACTAACTCGTACTTGGCAAAAAACTGGATCAAAACAAGCTAGCAAAAAGTTTTTACAAGCTACAACTGACCTTCTATTTTCAATATAAACCTGGATAAGTGGTTCAGACTCGATTTTGTGGACTGATATTTTGCTACGACTTCCGTCGTAGTTCGGTGGACGGAAGCGTGCAGCAGCTACAAATACACTCGTAGCTCGGGTGAAATTGGTTAAGACAGCAAAGAATATGCGGTGCGAATGACACGAACTCGAACCACTGCCTTTTAAAAAAATGTAATAGTGTTCAAAAGGGGCTTATCTGAGATGGCACTGAACAAAAATTTCAGGAGCATGTTGAGCAGCTTCTTGTCTTTTACCATAGGGGGGGCAGGTGTAACTATTCTATTCACACATACACACTCTGCAACCCAACTGGCCAAAAAGATCTTGAACCTCAATAACGTTACACTGTCGCAGGTAAAAGATTAAAGTACATACCTTGTGCATGTTCATGGGCATCATTTTCCAGCTTTTTCATTATGCTTTCTATTTTCTTCACAACCCTATCTCCTTCTCTCTCTCGGAGCCCAAAAGAAACTGAAATACAATGGCAACATTTATTTTTTAAAGGTTCAGCACCTTTCTAAGTATGTGATACAGTCACTTCTAGATGTAATAGAAAGTGAACGTAAAGGGTTATTGTTGAATGTAAAGAAAACAGAATGCATGGTAATATCTAAAAAAGCAGCAAAACCTATTTGAGATCTCTTAACTCACTCAACCCTAGGCCTACACTTCCGGGTTGTCAGCTCTCCCTAAGGATTTTTACAATTTTTTGAAAAATTGAAAAAAGTACTAAGTTTTAACATATCCAACCAAAATTTTATACACATTTTATTCAAATCTTTATTTGAGTGTATTGAAAATTTGAAGGCAAAATATGTCATAGTTTTTATGCAATACTCCGTGGAAAAAAGGTCTATATACAGAGTCAAAAAGTAAACAAAAATTGAAGAAAACAAGTGCGTTCAAATTTTGCACCCCCTCACATTTTTCAGGAATATAGCTTTCTTTGTTCTAAATGTGGGCTTGCACTCCTAGTCATAGTCTGTTTCAAATGAAAAAGGGTTACTCCTCCAATTAGGCTATAGTTTGCTTCACACAAAAGTGGTGTTTTCTGTCATGGGAGCGAAATTTTCCATACCGATATTGTCAGCGTAAGGGTTGGAGCGTTGCGCGTGTATACCGATATTATAGGCGTTAGGGATGGGTGAGTTAAGCAAAGGTGAAAAGATCAAACAAGTCCAACAACTTAGATATCTAGGATATAAATAACTATAACAACATCTGATGCCAAATGTTCCACAGAAATAAAATGAAGAGTTGCAATGGCTAAGGCTAGTTTCAATAAAATGAACCCAATCCTGAAAAATAGAAACATCTCAATGATTACCAAAATGAAAGTTCTGAAATGCTACGTATGGTCAACCCTTCTATATATGGCTGTGAATGCTGGGCAATCACAAAAGCCAGTGAAAATAAAATAGAAGCAACAGAAATGTGGTTTCTTAGGAAACGGCAGAGAATACCGTGGAAGTAAAAGAAATCAAATGAGGTAGTGCTTGATGAAGCCCACATGGGACGCTCACTGTTAAAAACAATCAGGAAAAGACAAATGGCAGTTTTGGGGACACCTGAATATACATATAGGTTTTGAACATCTAGCTCTCACTGACAAAATTGAAGGCAAACGAGGCAGGGGTAGGCCCAGAGTAACCTATTTAAAGAACCTAAACAAATGGGAAATGTGGAAAGATCAGGGTAACGTAGCTTTTTTAAGAGCATCGAAGCAAGGGAATGAATGTAGAACCATGATCGCCGATGTCTGCCGCAGATCTGGCACTTGATGATGATGATGATGATACAGTCAAAAGACTTTCTTGTTCTAAAATTAATCTCAAGTCAGAACACAGTGGGGCATGAAAACAATTTCTTTATGAGAAAATGAAGGCAAGATCAACAAGTCTTAATTATGAGCCTCTTGGGTTCACAACTGAAAGGTCGTAGGTTTGAACCTCGTCAAGTGCCCGATATTGTGTTCACGGGAAAGGCAGATTCTGTTCTCACTTAGCATGAACACTGAGCCTGACAAGGAAGTATGATTCCCCTTTTCTTACCTTGATCTGAGGTTTAAGAAATAATGAAGTTCTCACAATTATAAGCTTTATTTTCAAAAATAGCCTTAGCAGAACAGTCAACAACTTTGACAATTTAGAAGTGATGATCATGCCACTTGCTGTTTTCCAAAGGTAAGGACCATATAACGAATGAAGGTTCATTATGATCATAATTACTTTGAAGGAATTCTTATTGTGGATGTACATATTTTTTCCAAATTTTCAACATTTATCATTCATTCACATGGCTAAACCAAATTCTAGTTCTCAGGGATTTCCTTCCATCAGTTATGAGCTTACCCTCCTGAGGCACAGGAACAACCTCTTTCAGTTCTTCCAAATTTTCTTTCACTGCTGATATATTGTCACAGTCCATATTTCCACACACTTTCAAAATGTTCTCTACAGCTCCATCAACATTTCCAGCATCTTCAATACCAATAGATGCCGTAAGGCCCACAATCTATAACAAAAGGGAAAAAACAAATCAGCATCTTGGATAGATAGTTTAAAATACATGTGTGTCACAACGCAGTGTAACCAAGAGCTCGTCAATTTTGGGACATCTGGATTTATTGGTATCAACTTGAGGCTTGTTCATTTAACTAGCTTTTGATGACAAAAACATGTGGAATTATTGGTATCATCTTAAAGCTTGTTAATTTAACTACCTTTTGATGAAAAAAAACACCCAACTATCTTGAACAGAAGTCGAGATATTTGCGAAAGTTCGGTGACTTCCATAGCTTGAGAGTCCTTGGAAACTAAACATTTACATTTTTTGTCCTTTAATCAACCTTTTTCAGTAAATTCTACACAGAAATGTGTTTTTTTATATGGACATAAAAGGTGTTGAGCCCCAAAAAAATTCTATAAAAATTGCCAAACTGATGGAAATATGCCGGTATCTTCAATTTCATTATTTTGCCGAGCACTGATTTCACATACATAGAATATTTTTCTCTAAACAGAAATAAGCTGTCAATAACCAACATGACACGCTCAGTCTAAATCAATAAATCATGGGATCTTTCTCATCTTAAAGGACAACATGAATTTATTTCTGTGAATACTTTTCACACAATACGACATGACACATGACTAAAACGTAATAAACAACATGCAGTCGATACAGCTAAATTCCACAGTTTACGTTTTTTTCCTAGAACAAAACTTTCCAAAGTAAGCATATATATTTGAACATATCTGCTTCTACATTTGTTACCTGACAACACAAGAAATCTGAGTAGAGATAAAACATTTTCCTCACAAAGCACTATAGTAAGGGATAAAAAATCTTTAATTCTTTACCAGAAAAGCCCAGTGTTACCAAACTCAAACTCAGTTATTTAAGAAAGACTTCAGAACGCATTTTCTTTTACTCGCATTCTTACTTTTTAGAGTGGCACAATACCTGAGGAAGTTCCACCTCTGAATTTTTCTTCGTCTTGAGATAAGAAAGCATAAGGGTGTTGTAAGGTTCCCCCTCTCGAGTGTGATGACATTCATCGAAAATGATCAGGCTAAACACACCCAGATTCTCCAAGTAGTTCCTTATCAGGTGGTTTTCCAGGATTTTGGGTGTCATGACAATAATGTCATTGTCATCCAGCAGCATGTGCATCTTCATGCTGTGCTCACTCTCTCCAGTAACACTTGTGATCTGAGAAAGGATTTCACCGTCATTGATATGGCAAAAACTCCTGACATGACATAATAAAATAAACATTACACTAACATTAGGATTCTATTCCTATGCAAAAATCCAAAAAGGAAAAAAGATAATTATTTTCAAGAGCAACAAATCCAAAATCTTGAAAGTACAGCTGTATTCAAATAAAACAGTTTCTCCTCTGCTAACCAGAAAACCACAAAGGAAATGTATCTATACGAGATAAAAAGGAAATTTATCTACACGTTTTACAAACGAAATTTTTCTACATATGTGTTACAAAGGAAATTTTTTTAAAACGTCGTAAAAGTTACCCTGTACTCGCTTGAAAGATACGTCTCAAGACTTTTGCACTGCTGCAACACTAATGGAACAGTCCGAGCCAGGAAAGCAATTTTCTTGGGTTTTGAGGAATCTGAAAAATTATAAAAATTGACAACAGAAGTATTCTTTACTACAAAGGAGCTCAGTATTCGCAAATTCACCACGACACAGACTTTAGCAACTTATTGCCTGCTTAGCATCAGACAGTACTGAAATAAAGAAGTAAAAAAATTGCAGGGGCATAGGAAAACCAAGCGATTGAAAGAGAGACTTTTTCTGAATCTGTAGCTTTTGAAGTTTATCAGTAGACCTATAAAACATGAACAAAAAAAACTGTCAGAGAAAACTATACTACACAGGGAGGGTTCGATTTAAACATGGAAAAAGAAACATCAATCGTTTATTTGGCGTGAGAAATCTCTTTGATGCCATTTGGTTGAATGTTTTTCAATACCAGAACTAATCACTTGTCTACGGTAAAATCGGGAGCTTAAAGGGTTAACAAGAAAAGAGATGACAACTTCACATTGACTGTAGAATACTTGTAAGGATTCAAAAGGACCTTCATTTTACATACAAACTTTAGATTATAATTTATTTATATAACGACCACCTAAAGAATGAATGCCCATGCATAGAAACTCGAGGTGGTCCCTTACAAAGGTATTTCCAAAGCACATTCGGCTCAGGACAATGACAATAGTCCAAATAAATGCCCCACAATAACATTACGTTCAGGAAACTGATCGCAGAGAATTAGGTAAACAAATAAATAATGATAACTAAATATCTCATTTTCTCTCCAAATCCATCATTGTACCTCAAATGTAAGAATTAGCTTTTTATAGAACCAAATCACATTTTAAACAATTACTTTTAAAAAGTGATTAAATGCAACTGGTTTGAATTATCATGGAAGTGCACCAGTTTCGGGATGATACAAGTCTAATCTTATCTCATCTTGTTTTATTATGACATCAGAACAAATGATCTTATGATAATGCACAAAAACACATGCAGGCACACCAACATGCACACACACACACGCACACTTGCATGCATGTACTCACACACACAAGCACAGGCACACACAGACATGAGCGTGCCCGCGCACACACACACACACATATACATAAGACGAAAAACATTTCTCTCAATACACTGGATAGAGAGAATAAACATGACATACAAAGAGGAGGTAAAAAGGAAAGATGACTTCATCTTAACAAACAGACAAACATAACTCAGGTCAGTCAGAACAAACCACACACACAACTGTCTGTACTGTAGGCACAGACAGGATTAAATTTCATGCCTCTTTATCTTACCATCATTTTCCAGATGAGAAGAGACGATATGAGTCGCAACTCTGGTTTTTCCACAACCAGTTGGAGCACAAATGATTGTGTTCCGGCCATCTAAAGCATTAGCTGCCAATTCCTTTTGATATTCCCGCAACTGGAGATCTGGCTTTTGAAATGTAGCTTCCGCTTTCTTAATCTCTGAGAATAAGTATTAAAAACTTAGGATAAACTTTTCATTTTTGTTAAAAATCCATAACAAGGCATTTGGTCCAAACTTAATAGTTATGATTTTTAAAGCAAAAAAAAAAAATGTATAAGGGCTGAAATTATTCTTTAACTTTAACTATTTACTTCATGAGAGCTCAGATGAGCTTACGAGAATATAAATAACACTTAACAAAATTTGCAAAAAATAATACAGATTGTTTTTTCCAAAAATATCTAACTTGAGAAAACCAGACAATATTCAATCTGCGCTTTTAGTTAGGGGTATTGAAATGGACTACAATATGACCAAATCAGAGGATATACCTTTTCCATCTTTTTTCATTGTAAATGTAGATGTTTTACGCCCCCATCAACACAATTTAGATCATTTAGGAGGCTGGCTGAGACCCTGCCTGTAAATTCAAGAAGGATGCAACATCCCAGCAGAAAACTGAAATACTCCATTTAAAAAAAGCTCTCCACATGTGAATTTTATCACAGGCCACAGGTCTTCTGTGGGCTACGATGAAGTGCTTAACCACTACACCACAGATGCTCGTACATTTTTTTCATTTAAAAAAAAAAGGAAACAATGTGCCCTGTAACATGTTCACTTTCTAGGCCACTATCATCTATGCACCGTGATTCTTGGGTTACTAGTTAGGTTTGGGAGATGCCTTGATGGGGCTTCAAAGAGCTCTGTAAGCGCTTTACATTAAGAAAGAGTTATGAATGCATGCTGCAAGTTTTGGCATTTTTGTCAGAACTTCAGAGAAAGGATCATGTTTTTGTGATTACCACTGAATAACAGCAGACCCAGAGACGTGTGAAATGTGTTTTAAAGAGGCTCATTTGGTTGATAATAGTAATAATGATAAATGTATAACAATATTAGTAATAATAACAATAAAATATTGCTTTTAGCATTCTATCCCATACAAGTATAAGCTCTGAGATATTTACATCGATGACATGATTACGCACTCTATCCCATACAAGTATAAGCTCCGAGATACAGTCGAACCTGCCTTAACGGAAACCTGTATAAAACGGAATCTCCCCCCTTGATATATTCCTCTTTAATGACCTGTATAAAACGGAAACCTGTCCAACGCAGAAGCGAAAAAAAAAATCCGCTCCCTTCAGACGGTTTCACCTATGCTTTGCCTGGTCAACCTTGATTTGAAACAAAACTCGCAAGTTTGGTTCCGCCGGCTCTAAACTTAACGCTATGGCTATGCCGCTGGCCGAGGAAGAGGAGTAGGGGTGCAATTTGGGGGTAGATGTTACCCTATCATATGAGCCCTGAGCAATGCAGATGGCCAGTGTACTGTGGGTGTGAAATCTCACGACTTCCTGAGAGAGTGCTCGAGCAGCGAGCCACTACGGAAACTTTCCTAGGTAGCCAGAAGCCAGAGGTGTGAAATTAGATTGACCAATGCCTACTGCCCTGATCGTACAGCCAGCCGAGAATAGAGTTCATGGAATCATTGCTACATGATGGCAGTGAGGGGTGGCATTGGTGGGTGGCGCTAAGGGTGGAATCAAAGGAGAGGTCAAACGGTGGTCCTATGAAAGGCAAGCACTGGTGGTAAATATAAATAAGTAAGACTGACGCATTTTCATTACCAGACAGGATAGCAATTGAGAGGGTGAAGTTTTGACCACTGCTTGCCGATCGGACAAGCGATCCTTGATCCCACCGGCTGGGCCTTTGAACCCCCCCCCCCTCCCCCCCAACCTCCATCTCCCCCTAAATTCCCCTGTCTAAGACGGAATTTTTTTCTGGCTCCCTTGCGATTCCGTCTTACACAGGTTCGACTGTATTTACATCGATGACATGATTATTGAGGTAAAACCACACACTCACACACACACACACACGAAAAAATATTTCATATATATGCACAAGAATATGACATTGTATACTCCAAGTTAAGTTGGTGCCAGACCCCTACACCACGCTTTTTCTTTCATCTCCTGACACTTGCAAAACCTATCAGTTCGTGATATGTTATGTGAACACCAGCATGTTTTACACACAAACTGAGAATGGATATCTTGTCCACTGCTTTCAACTTCTATCAGATGAGTTAGGTGTACATCATCACTTGTCACACATAATTTTGGCTTTCTATACTCGTTCTCTTATATTTCTATTTTGAGCGTAAGTTGTCTAGGACTACGAAAGGATAAAGTTCATAGACATTAGCAATTTGATTCTCTCAAGTGTGCTCTATATTGAAGCAGACACACAGACTCATCTCATATTCTGCCCAGTTTCTAGCTGTGCATCTTTCTATACTTTTCTAACTTAACAGTTATGCTATGTAAAGCAGATTCGTGTGAAAAGATATGCTTTCTTAAAAGTGCAATGTCACCAAAATACATTCATGTAATTTTTCAATAAAAATCTGATTTTTGTAAAGCTAGACAAAGTGAATACTGGCAAACAAGCTTCCAACTATTGAGTAGCCAAAGTTGGGTCCACTTGCAGAAAATACAAGAATTATCTTTATTAGTTGAGAATTTTGTTTCTCATAGCGTTTCGTTCTTGTTATTTTGACTAAAGTATGGCACTGTGAACACATAGTGAAACAGGCATACACATAAACACTTTACAAAAAGTTGAATTGACAACATACAAGTATGTTAAGCAAGAGTCATAAGGCCCATACATCATCACCTTTCTAAAAATATCTTTAAAATTTCCCTTCCATCACTCAATTCAAGCCCTATTTGATATAAATCAGATCCAATTACTTTGAGCTCAACTAAGATACATTTTTTTTCACAAAAGGCACAACACAGAGCTATTCCTTGAACAGATGCAAGGTAGCAAGTCACAACACATAAGAGTATGATTTAAATTTTAAACACAAATAAAGGAGCAAAACGTTCCTAAAGCTTCAGAACTTTCTGCATAATGCAAGAGGGCAATTGGTACGCACCCTCTTGATCTTGTTCTTCTGAATCAGAGTGGTATCCCTTCCAATTGAGTTGTTCTCTGATGCGTTCTGCACTGTAGTCACACTGAACTTGTTTTGGATCCAAACCTCCATTCCCCAGAATGTGCTGGAACACTGGATTGTTCAACTCACTACGAGTCACATGTAACTCTTTCACTTCTAAATGAAAAAAGAGAAACAACAAAAAAGCATGTTATCTCGAGTAAGTATAAACAGACACTCAGGGATTGCTGCCTAGAGGTTCTTAAACCCATTTTTGTACATGGCCTATTAAAAAGAAGAGGTGCCCTACCCTTTCAAAGATTCATTTGAAGCACCTTAAATCACCTATACTAACTGTTTCTATCAAAAAGCAAAGATTAAATCAAGTAGTGCATGCTTTACTTTGTTGTTCAACCACACAGACGTCCCTAACCTGTTTAAAGCGATTACAGGACCTCCAAGTTATCCATCCTAGTTCAAGAAGACTAGGTACAAGATCCCACATAAATTAGAACGAAGGGTGAAAAGATACAAGAGAAAAAAAACTTTCCTATTGACCACACATGTGAAAAGTTGAGATTGAGCTAGATATCACAATGAGAGACAATCACCTTTCCTCTTGACTAAAGAGACACCTACATTGCAATCAAACCCATACAATTTCTCATTCCATGAGTATTACAATAAGAACATCTTCGAACTGGTTTGTCAAACTAAATTGAGCATCATCATAAACATATTCATTCTCTTCCATTCTCTTTTCAAAATAGTACAGTAGTCTCCGCCTAAACGCACGGTGCTCGGGAGGGCTCCGGAGCGTGTGTTTATACTGAGCGTGCGTTTACATGAACCTTTGCAAAGGGAGGATGGGACGCAGTCATCTCATTGCCTTGATATTCTAGTGACCTCCCTTTGGGGTGGGGGTCACTTTAGGCCGATAATGTTACGATACGTGACTGTTTTGTGAAGGATTCCCCAACTGCGGTTAAGAATACAAAGGTGTTAAATGGGTGGGGGGGGGGGGGACAGAAAAACAGACTCAATGTAATGATATGCACCATAAAATGTCGGGAACAGATAGAGACGACGGCGCAGCCACGTGGCTTTCCAAGTGACCACCCCCGACGGTAAATTCATGAATGTCATCAGAATCATAGATCTCTACATTCAGAGAAACATTTCTCTTGTGATTCGTTGAACAACTACGTTATAAGTTCTGCGAGCGTAGCTGATTAGACTTACTACTAATCTTTAATCCTTTTGAGTAGGTTTTACTGCATTCACGCGTGTTGTGCATCAAAGCCTAGGTCTAACTAAACAATACTAAAAAAAATTACACACGGTCACCCAAACACTAGTCAGAAACCTTCTCTCAGAGATGCATTTCCAGTGACCAATCAAAAAACATTTCAGTCCCCTAACCCCCCAACTTTTCCGCGACTAGTCCTATGTGTCTGTGGAAAGTTGGGTGTGAAAACACTGTCCATCACTCTCTTTGTTCGGCATGAGGGGCATTCCCACCAACTATCCGGTTTTCTAGGCTTGTCATGCAAGCTGTGCAGGTTGTAGTGAACCTTTCCTCTTGTCAAGCTTTACCTATCAGCGTGTTTCGCGGATCACAGCGTGCGTTTAGAGGGAGTGACCATGCATTTGCACGTCTAAATTATATCGTAAAAAACCCGTCGAGAGGACAAAAGCGTGCGTTTGAGCGGAGCGTGCTTTTATGGCGTGCGTTTAGGCGGAGACCACTGTATTCCAAATTCATCTTTGACTTCATATGCAGTGAGTGAGACTAAAATGACAGAATACTACATGTTCATCTGAGCAGTTGTGCATTAATACAAATATATACATGTGTATTCAGTTCCAGATAATGATTTTTTTTGTCTGCTGAAAAAATTATTAAAAATTCACCTACATCTCAAATACTGACAGTGAAATAAGAATGTTAAGACAAATCACATGGCCAGCAAAATAGTACAATTGAATTCTTAATATGAACAAGATAGAGTCAATATTTCAAACGTGTAATATTGGATTTTCTTTGAACCAGGCAAAAGGCATACTTGTTTGATTAAATAATTCCAAGTCCTCACAGTTCATGGAAGCATAACAGTCGGCTGGAATGTCCCTCTCTTGGAGCTCTGAGAATACACTAAAGCTGGCTGGGAGCTGTTTCTGGTCTCCTGGCCCTAATATTGAAAAAGGAAAAGTTGAATACATAACCATATAATAATAATATCATAACATGAAGCACTACTCAATTATCACAAAGAAGCAAAACAGAATTGACCAAAGGAAATAATTTAATGTGCAGAAGTTTACAAAGAATATGAACTTAGATCAAATTAAATGCAGAATTTACTCAGAGGTAAAAATCATTGAGACAAAACTCATTCACCTGTAGCTTGCAGCATGTCAGCATTAAAAGAGCACCAATTTCCAAGAAACAGATTAAAATTGTACCATGAGGGAAAAGAAAGATCCTAAAATGTTAAAGCAACAGCCAACCATGAGTAGCGATGCTTGGTACACCAAACATAATTTTGCAACATATGCAAGTGTCATGATATTATTTGATATCTACTAAATTTGCTACTATAATATAATGTGTGATATCGCAATGAAATAAGGCACTCTTCAAAATAATGAAATCGAAGAAACAAACATTCTTCTGCCCGTTTGGCAATACATATAAAATATTTTTTTCTTTGCTCAACACCTTTTATGTCCATTTAAAAAGACATTTCAGCCTGGATTTTACTGAAAAATGTTGATCAAAGGCATAACAAATGTAAATTTGCAGTTTCAAAGGACACTTGAGCTTTGGAATTTGCCAAACTTGGACATCCATTTTCTCACTAATTTTACCTCTCACACCTGGCGACCTCTACCTCCTTCATTCACAAATAACTTGACTTCTAAAAAGACAGATTTAAAAAAATAAATAAATAAAAAACAAGACAAATTGATGAACAAGCTTTAAAACGGTACCAATAACTCCATATGCCCATAAACTGTCAAGCACCCGATTCCACCACATAGTGACAGATATAAATTAACATACCATATAATAAACAAGAAAAAAACATTCTAAAATCATCAACCTTGCTCCACAGGATTGTCTCCTTGACTTTTACTCCAATTTTTCACTGCATCAAAAAAAACAAATGGCCAGTCATGTTTTCCTCTTTTAATTTCAGTAAACATCCGTAGACACACTTCATGAGGTGGCGTCTTCTTGTCAGCAAGAAGACTTTCTAGTTTCTGCTTGGAACTCTGAAAATTTAAAATATGACACAACTTCAAACACTGTTCCTTAACAAAACTAGACTACTTTTCAACACCATATGCCACTACCTCAGATTCTATTTCTACACCAGTAACTTGATCCCTTATCCAAAACTAAGAGATTTTAAGTTTTTGTTCTTGTTTTTTTTAATCTGTTTGTTATTTTATTTCATTTTCTGGGGGTTTTTTTGGGGGGATAGCTGCAAAAGTCAAACATTAAATCAGTAATCTCAATATCCATATACCTGTTATGACAAAACCAACAGTCTGGTGGCAGGACCAGTAGTATTTTCGAGAGAGTGAACAATTTACTTCCACCCTAAACAAAAAGTAGCAAAAATGAGATGTGCCATTTTGCAAGTGCAGTGACGATATACTGGTCACTCTTTCCCTTTAAAACCAGCAAATTGAAAATAGCATATTTTGGGCCCAAGTGCCCAAATGCATTAAAAGATGGGAATGAAGGCTAAAAAGAATATTCAAAAATTATTTGAGCATTGAATCCCAGGAAAATGTCTATTAATTTTTATCTTAAAAAGAAACAAAATCCTTTTTACAGATAAAAGTCTACTGCAAGCTTGTTGTCTGAAATTTTGGAAATTTAAGTAAGGCATATTCTTGTAGCAAATTCAATGCTGAACATGCTCATTTCTTATCAATTTTTCAAATATCTTGAGTAGTTTTAAAGATATGCCACATTTTATAACACAGGGTGTAAAAACAAAGTTTGGAGAAAAACCAAATTTCTAGCACATTTTTTACCTCTGGTAAAATACAACATGTTGTCAAAATAACTAATAAGAAAATATTTAAACATAAAATATATTAAAATCCTGTTAACATTTTATTAGGAAATGGTTAAACGTGTGTTTTCCGATTAAACAAATTTTTTTAGCAAGTAAGCTATTTTGGGATTTTTCACCCTGTTGTTCAAACATAGCTTTGCCGACAACTGGGACCTTTCTGCAGGCACACACAAATTTGATAAAATATGATCTATTGTGCAATGTAAAAGTCGACTCTCTCCAAGACAGAGGGTTGTCCGAGCTTGTGCCTGCCTAGTGCCTTACACATTGAATAAGGAGTTGAGACTATTCAACGAGAAAAATGTCTGCACTAAAGTTCTATGACATGGGAGAGAAAGGGAACACAGGACGGAATACCAAATCAATATACAGTCGAACCTGTCCTGGCGGCCACCTCTATAAGACGGCCACCTGTACAAATGGCCACTTTCCATTTCCCCCCTTGCGTTTTTTCTACATAATTTAACTGTGTAAAACGGGCACCTGTCCAACGCGGCTGCGGCAACATATTTTAACACACAACCCCTATCATATCAAACTATAACCCCTGTCTTAGACGGCCACCTTAGTGACTTTATTACGTTTTGTCATTAATTGTGCATTGGCCCCTAGTGTAGTGGGTGAGCCGTCATAATCCAATCACCCGTCGTTATTGTTAGGTAGTCCCTCCAACCGATCATGATGCGTAGGCCCCTCCCACTGTTGACCAATAGGTAAAACATTTTCAGCTGCTGGTGAGGAAAGCGTGTGATCCCTCATAACAGATAAACCCCGCCCAAAACTCAAACACAAATCGTAAGTGAGATGAGTAGTCACTGTTTACCCAGTCTGTAACAAAGTAACAATGGACGTCAACATGAACTTGTGACAGAAGCGTCGCTCATTCTCCAAATGGTGGCGACCCATGTGTTTGCTTTACAACAGCACTCGGTCCTCCTTGACTAACACATTTTGTTTTATTGTCACCCTTGCACAAAGGCAACAACAAAAGAACCCCCCCCCCCTAATTTTTTTTTTATAAAAAAAAACAGCGAAAACAACAGCAACAACAACAACGTGGCTAACTTCGGTTGGGACCTCAGAAAGGAATGGTTTGTTTTCTTCATCTTGATCAGTCCTGCCTAAGACGGCCACCTGTCTTATACGGCCACTTTTTTCCTTGACAATGGGTGGCCGTCTCACACAGGTTTGACTGTATGTCATGGATAGACCCACATGTGGCACCAGATATCAACAATAGACATGGACTGGGTAGGGACAAGTAAACCCCAAAATTGCTTAGAAGCAGATCCTCAGACAATGCAGAAATTGGCCAATCAACTGTTTCCATGCTCTAGGTGTTTCCATGATTGTGCCAGCAGTGTGTTGAAAATGTGACAGGGTGAAGGTGATCTTTGGAAAAACTAGTCCCTGAACTTAAATAAGCGTACAAACTATTCCCATATCATATATCAAAATAAAGACAATAGCAAAAAATAAAACATAATATTTTCAGACAATATATAAAGTGAGGCATCGTGGTGAAATCAGGCGCTCGTCAAAATCATTAAATTTAAAGAAATCGGCATGTTTCGGCCAGTTTGGAAATTTTAAAAGGAATTTTAGTTTTTCGGTTCAACACTTTGTATGTCCACTTTATGTGTGGATTTTATGGAAAATGGTTAATTAAAGGTACAAAAAATGTAAGTTTGCAGTTTCCAAACTTTGGCGGCCATTTTCTAACTAATTTTTCTTCTGAAACCAGGTGACCCCACCTCCTTCAATCACAAATATCTCGACTTTAATTCAAGATAAATGGATATTTTTCTCCCCAAACGTAAGGCAAATGCCCAATCTTTAAGATGAAACCAACAACTCAACATGCCCAAAAATTGACGAGTGCCTGATTCTACCACCTTGTGACACATAAACGCAAAATGGGTTGAAACTCGTGATTACAACTTGGCAATTTCACTCGTAGGATTTAATTATGATCTACCACCATAACTCATTTAATAAAATTGTTATACATTATACATGTCTTGAGAAAATTTGGTTTATCATTAAGCTCAGAATAAAAAGCAGTGCGAACTCCCTAGATAGAGAATCTGATGGGAGTGAACGGTAACAAGATATATGTACTTCTCTTGAGAAAAGATCCTTGTATAAAGAAAACTGCTATTTGATTTTGAAAAATGTTCACTTACCAATGAAATCATCCTTGCTTTTTCCAGGGCAACAAGAGATGACTGGACAATTCCAGTGCTGATATTGTCAAACAGTTTTCCTGTGATTAACTCTACTAAAAGTTCACAATACTGTTTAACATCCTGGTTGTTAAAATCTGACAATCCCAGTAAGAACGAATCTCTGCATTCATCTGGAATAAGAAGAAACACCAAGAATCTGTAAAAAATCTACACATACATATTACTAAACAAATCATAAAACAAAATTAATAATAATATTGACAATTAAATATATGAATCCATGTAAATTGCTTCAGCAATTAATAATAATAATAGATTGCATTTATACAGCGCTCAGTATGAGCTCTGCGCGCTTTACATCAATCACAAGATCACTGAGCAATGCACACTATAGTGCTGTCAAAAATTTGTGGCACAACTTATTTTAAAATATTTCCTAACCTATCGAACATAGACTCTCAAGCTTTTGCACAATGATTGGTATCAATTTGTCTTAACAGATCAATATTTTTGTAAACATCTGTAGGCTGTCCTGTTGTATGGATGTGAGACATGAAACGCATCACAGCTTGCATAAAAAGGATCTAGGTTTTCTTGAACAAGTGTCTAAGAAAGTTACTGAAGATCTGTAAAGGAAAACATGACAGATCCCAGTCAGAGATGAGGTAGGAAGAAGGAGGTGGCGATGGATTGGACATACTCTCAGGAAGTCAGGAAGCTGCATAACAAAGACAGTGTTAAACTGGAATCCACAGGGTAAAAAAAGATCAAGGGGAAGACCGCATGGAACCTGGAGAAAAAACACAGAAATTGATGTACAGAAAAGTGGAAAGACATGGAACAACATCATGAGGCTAGCCCAGGATAGAGAAAGGTGGAAAGTGTCCGTCCATGGCCTATACCCTGGTGCAGGGTGAAAATGGCAATTATGATGATGATGTTGGCTGTATTCTAGAAAATTCCTTAATAAACAGTCATAAAAAATACAAGTAGGTGGTTTCAACAGATTTTAAAAGGTTAACAGCTGGAGTAATATCGCATTTAATTATAATAGCAATTCTGTCATTTTTTTTCTAATTGTGACACTATCTATGTTGAACGCATGTTTTGAGAACCTTTAGTGCAAAAAATGTGTTCACTATATAAAATTAATTTCTTGTAGCAAGTTTTGCCACTAAAAACTTTCATTGGTGAGCTGTGACGTAGGCTGGAAGTGAACAATCACATTTTCCGCATGACAGAGATTTATAGTATTACATTTATGAAGAAATTTTTTTAAAATATAGCCTCAATTGCTGTGGAAAAATATGATTAAGTTAAGACAAATAGATGCAAACTGCTGTGCAAAGAACGGATGACATTGATCTACCCATTAAGGAGATATTAGAGGATAAGTTGCGCCACAAATTTTTGACCGCACTAAAGATAAAAAGTTTCACAGTAACAAGAAAGTCCAGTTCAACCACATAAAGAAGAATTTTCACACCAATTAATTATATGTAAGAACAGCAGTAAAAACAAAACATGTCAGCCCTTACTAACACACCATAATTAAGAATTAAACAAATGAGTCTTGAGCAATCGCTTAAATGTATTAAGATTTGTTATTTCTCTGAGATCCTGCAGAAAGGAGTTCCAGATTTTAGGGCCAAAAATTGAGAAACTTTTTTCACCAAATGATCTTAATTCCATTCTTGAGGGCTCTGAATCTTGTTGCGTCTGTGGATGACCGTAACTGCATGATAGAATATATGGCGTTAAAAGCTCAGATAGACGGGCTTTATTTCTTAGTTTAGTTTTAATAAGGTTTTACAGCGCTCACAACTGCATATGGTCATACGAGCGCCAAGGGGTGAATGTCAACAGAGAAGTCCAAATGGGGAATCAGGCTTACTCTGCTCACCTCTCTAGCCTCAACAGCACAAAGTCTGCTTCGACTATCAAGGCACCCCAGAAATAGCAGTTCACAAGAGAGTGAAAAACATACAAAAGAAGTAGAAGTAAAATGACGATAGTAAGGATGAGGAAAGAAAAAGCAGCAGTTCCCTCTATGTTGTTCTGGCACAGTATGAGACCATAAGAACATATGCATATCACCCCTTTGGAAAAGGCCTAAAGACACTATAGTCAGTGGCACTGCCCTGGGGAGAGGACACTTTATTTTTAAGACATTAATATTTTCAATTAATGAAATAAGTAATGAACAGGCACTACTCCATTGTGGTGTTAGTAGCCCAGTGGCCAAGCTACTGGACTTGAAACAAGAAGGTCACAGGTTCAAATCCCAGTTGGGGTCTTCGTGAAAGATATTTCACAAAATTTTCATGTGGGAATGGGTACTTGGCTAAGACAGTTAAAGTTCTTGTCAAAATCCTTGCGTCTGAATGCTTGTAAAAGGGCAGCTAGTACTGGAAATCAAAGATCATTTCATCATAGCCGTACTGACATATAGTTCAAAGATATGGAAAACAAACCAAGCAATTCAACAAAAATAAAAAAGCTTCCAAACAAAATGTCAAGGAAGAATTTCACTTATAAAATGGAATTAATTTATTACAAATTATAATGAAGTGTTGGAAAGAGCTGGAATTGAAGATATCAACACGACCATACAAAGGAGAAGATGGAGATATTTATGACATGTTCAAAGAAAGAGACAAAATTGCCCAATCAGGCATGGTATTAGAGACCAACTGGAAAAAGAAAAAGAGGTAGACCAACAGGAAGTTACAGAGGCACAATCGGGGATGAGGCCAACACCCAGGGCCTGGATGTGCCGAGACTGAAGAACAAGCATGGCTGCGACTGCTCTCCGCCTTATGTACCTGATGGTATAGGGAGAGAGTAAGTAAATAAGTACTGATGCTTGCCAGGAAACTGAAAATGTTTTAGAATGTTTAAGCCACATACAGTTCTCACAGCTGCCATCTTTAGACCTGAACAAAAAAGGGGAGTGAAGGAAGGCAAATCCACTCTGTCCCTTCATGTTCCTTCCCATTTGACTTCCTTTCCTCACATTTTTTTGAGGAGGCAAAAGGGGAGGAAAGGATGATCCACTGTATTTGTACCTCAAAGGACAATGCTTGGCGGTTTTTTAGGCATAAACAGAGGACAAACTATGTGAGGCAGCGTGGTGGAATCAGGCTCTCGTCAAAATAATCAAAGTGAAGAAACTTGCATTTTTCCGCAGGTTTGTCAATTTTGTTTTTTGGCTCAACACCTTTCAAGCCCTTTAAAGAACTCATTTCTGTGTGGATTGTTCTGAAAAATGTTGATTAAAGGTACAAAAAATGTAAATTTACAGTTACCACGGACTCTTAAGCTAAGGACATAACTAATCTTTGGCGACCATTTCTCATTATGTTTACCTCTGAAAACAGGTGACCCCCGTCTCCTTCATTCGCAAATATCTCGACTTGTATTCCAGATAAATTGATTTTTTTTAAAAATCTTAATAAAGACAAGTAAACAAGCTTTAAGATGATACCAATAACTCTACATGCCCAAAAATTGTCGAGAGCCTGATTCCACCACGCTGTCTCACAAATGAATAAAATATATAATATTATCTTAAAAGAAAGATTTGAGAGCTTTTAATAAAAAATATATGGTAAACATAATCATCAATTCCAAACATCCCTTGATTCCCAATCCCCACCAAAAAAAGCCAAAGTCGAAAAAGTTAGACTATTGAACTGTTACCTTTTTGAGTCATCAACAATGCCTGCACAAACTGGTCAACTAGTTCTTTTTCCGAGATCATGTGTAGAAAATCAGATCCATCGCTGTAGTCATCTTGTAAAGCATCTGTAAAAAACAAAGTACTATACAGAACACAAAATTCCTTTCTGTTTTCTATAATTTTCCCTTCCCTTTTGGTCCATAAAGTTTGCTAATATCGCGACTAGGCTGCAAGAAAGGTTCTTTAATTAGGACACAGTATTATTATGTCGCCTCAAGCACAAAAGTGGAAGCTTAGTAGCTACATGGTCAATAACAACAAGAGATCACTTTACATACAACAACAAAGACAAAGACTACACCAACATCTACTAAAATCTTTGACACAGAAACTATAGTAGTAGTAGTATAAGGTTTTACGGCGCTCGCAACTGCTAAGGTCATATGAGCGCGCGAAACACAAGTTGTTCACCTC